GCTTTGGAGAAACTTAGCCAGACTAGCCAAGTGGGGGAGGGGAAAAACGGCTGGACTAGTTTCAAAGTGGGGGGGGAGGATGAGGAGCCACGCCTTCCCCCCTCCCCTTTCGGGGTTTTCGTCCCACTCCGAATTGAGACCAGCCCGAGCCAATCAGAACAGCTCCCCGACCAACCACCTTTCCCCCAAAATACAGGTAGCCCTCAATTTACAACTATTTGTTTAGTGGCCATTTGAAGTTACAATGATGCTGGGGAAAAAAGGGACTTTATTTTTATTTTATTTTTATTTTATTTTGAATTTGTATACCGCCCTTCTCCCTGAGGACTCAGGGCTTTGAACAGCCAAGTAAAAACATCAAATACAAATATTAAAATACAATTAAAAGTATATATAAAATTTGGCCCATTAATTGCCACCGTTCTTCACACTTGCGACCGTCGTAGCATCCCTGTGGCCACCTGATTCAAAATTCAATGTATTTAGGATGATTGCAGTATCCCTGGGATCAAGTAATCCGCCTTCGCCGACCTTCTGACAATCCACGTTAATGGGGAAGCCAGATTCACTTAACAATTATGTGATTCACTTAACAATTATGTGATTCACTGCAACAGCTACAGCAATTTGCTTAACTGTGGCAAGAAAGGTCACAAAACGGGGCCAAATCCACTCAACAGCTATCTTGCTTTGCTGTGGAAATTGGGGGGGGGGGCGCTCAGTTGTGGTCGTAAGTCAAGGACTACCTGTATTCGTGATAAATAGGGTGCCCAGCACAGGGGTAAGGTAAAAGGTAAAGGTTCCCCTTGCACATATGTGCCAGTTGTTCCTGACTCTAGGGGGCGGTGCTCATCTCCGTTTCAAAGCCGAAGAGCCAGCGCTGTCCGAAGACCCCTCCGTGGTCATGTGGCCGGCACGATCAACGCCAAAGGAGCACGGAAGGCTGTTACCTTCCCACCAAAGGTGGTCCCTATTTTTCTACTTGCATTTTTTTTACCTGCTTTCGAACTGCTAGGTTGGCAGAAGCTGGGACAAGTCACGGGAGCTCACTCCATTTACGCGGCGCTAGGGATTCGAACCGCTGAACTGCCGACCTTTCCCATCGACAAGCTCAGCGTCTTAGCCACTGAGCCACCGCGTCCCTAGCACAGGGTGTACATAGCACCAAAAAGAGTTGGACTAATCTCAAGAAGCTTGGGAGGTGGAAATACCTGGATGGAAGACCACTAAGAGATCCCCCAGGTTGGAAGCTGGGATGGGAAATTGAGCAAACCTTTTAAAAAAAGGTTGCAATGTTTTCATCAGCTTCAGCCTTACAGCTGAAACCTGTTTTTAATATGTCCTTTGATCTTGATTGGGAGCTGCCTCAGAGCGAGTTGAAAGATGAACCGCTCTAGAAATGTTTTAGAATAAATAAATCAATTTAAAAAAAAAAACAGCCCTTTTTCTATCGTGATTAAAATGACGTCCATGAAATCCAGCTGGCTCTAAAGGGTGTTTTTTCACACTTTTCCGGTTAGGGTTTAATTTTGTTTGGGTTCACCATCGATTTACCACCCTTCCCCAAAGAATTCAAGCTCTTTTAAATAAATCTTTGAATACAGGGATTTAAATTCTGTTGAAATTTACATTAATGGGGTGTGTGTGACAAATTCACTCTTATTTTAGTTAAATGCAGTATTATTTCACGATTCTTCCCTGCTCAGATTTGCTGGTTTGAGACGTGTGGTTATACAAATGGAAGAAATAAATAATTAGCAAAGGAAAAGGGGATGTGTAAGAAATATAATAAATGTTTTGCCAATATTTTTTTTTAGGGGTGATGAGATTTTTCCCAGGGGTTACATTCTTCTTAACCATTCCTGAGATTTTCACGGAGCTACTCGAAGTCAGCTCAGTAAGTTAAACGAGGCTTCCTCCAAATGAGCAAATAAGTATACACACCCAACCACAGGTGGTGTTAACTTGATTGTACTACCTGGAGTAAAATTCCAGTTAAGACTTTAGTTCTGACCCCTGGAATTAGGTTTTCAATTCAGGCAGGTTTTGCAAAAGAAAACAACACTTTAAGCCTCATCTTTTAAAAGTTTCTTTATAATCATAGTTTAGGCCACCATAATGAAAATGTCCTTTTTGAAGAGCTCAACAACCCTTCTAATTAAAGTTTTCAGCTCCAGAATTTTTTTCTGGAATTCACCTGAACTCGTTTTTTTTTTTTTTTTTTTTTTTTTTTGAGGCCGAGAAGAATCTATTGAGGCTTTGGGGAGCGATCCAAAACTTTGTTGTGTTGTTTTGACACTCAGCTGGCATTGTATGCCCACTAAGGGTGAACCCCAAATAAACCTCACGTTACACGGCTGAGTGGGGTGCCCCGGTTTACACAGTACTCTTTAACACCTGAAGTGGTTTACCTGTTTTTGAGTTAGCCATGCTCCCTGGGTAACTAAAGTTGTTGCTAGTTGTGAATTCGCCCATGCGGTTCCTAAGAGGTGAGGAAACTGTGTGCACAATGGAATCTGTGCCCATTAATTTTATTAGAGATATCTTCTCTCCCCTCCCCCACTTTGTCTCTCTGTCTCTCTCTCCCCCTCCCTCTCTCTATTTTTCTCTTATCAATCTATCTACTCTATTCTATCAGTCTGTCTACTCTTTATCATCTCTTATCTATCTACTCTTTTTTCTATCAATCTATCAATCTATTATTTTTCTCTATCATATATCATTTTTCTCTGTCTATATCATCTACTTATCTCTATCTCTATCCATCTATCTCAATATCTGTGTCTGTCTGTTTATCTGTCTTTTCTTTTATGTACACCGAGAGCTTATGCACCAAGACAAATTTCTTGTGTCCAATCACACTTGGCCAATAAAGAATTCTATTCTATTCTATTCTATTCTATTCTATTCTATTCTATTCTATTCTATTCTATTCTATTCTATTCTATTCTATTTCTATTCTATTCTCTATCCTCTATCCTCTATTTTTCTCTATCAATCTATCAACTCTTTCCTCTATTATCTCTATATCTGTATTTATCTACTCTGTTTTTCTATCAATCTGCTCTTTTTCTCTATCGTATCTATCTATATCATCTATCTACTTATCATCTCTCTATCTCTATCCATCTATCTCAATATCTCTACCTACCTACCTACCTATCTATCTTTCTCTCTCTCTCCTCCCTCCCCTCTCTGTTTTTCTCTCATACATTCGTAATAACGCTAGGAATATTTTTATCAACTTTGGCTGAAAAAAAAAATGGAGAGAGATAGGTTTTGGCTGCCGAAAAATCAAACAGCAGCTAAAAACCAGCTTTCAGACTAACACGTGTTATTAAAAGGCATCAGTCAGCGCTAGATGCCGTGGAGGGCTCATGGTACGATATAAATCGGGATGAGAGACCACTAGAAAATCTTACCCCATTGTACAGTTTGGGAGATGAGAGCGATTCCTTGGGCGAATGGCTTAAGGCGCTCCCCAAACTCGCATTGTGGCTTGTCGAGTCGGGTTGGTGTCCGGGTAAACTCCGTCCTTCTAGAAGGCAACCCGGGGTCCGACCTTAGGCAGTACCCGTGAAGCGGACACGGTTGTTGCGGCGGATAAACCATGGCTCGAATCTCCGGCGCGAAAGAACCAAGGTTTAAAAGAAACCACGATTGGTCGCTGCAACTTTAGCGAGAGTTCCCCGCGACTCCCGCAAGCTCCTTTTTATGTCCAGATTGGGGGTGGGGGTGGGGGGTGGGGAAGCGGGTTTAGTAGCAGCCGGATTGAGTTGCTTGGTTTCTTCTCCTCGTGTGAACGCGCCCACCGGAGAAATGCGGAGCGGGGGAAGGGAGAAACGAAGGCGGAGGAGAGCTGCTTTTCGTTACCCCTTCCCTAAATCAGGCAGCCGTTTTCGGCTCTCCGCTGCCGAGCGATTCGAAGCCCGCAGGCCAAGTAGCGCACGGAGGCGGGTGTCCAGTTCTTCCCAATTCTTGTTTGACAAGGCGGTTGGGCAGGTAACAGTAACAGAGTTAGAAAAGGGACCTTGGAGGTCATCTAGTCCAACCCCCTGCTCACGCAGGAGACCTACACTAGGGATTCGAACCGCCGAACTGCCGACCTTTCTGATCGACAAGCTCAGTGTCTTAGCCACTGAGCCATCTAGCCAGACAAGAAAGCGCCCAAAACTCCCGGCCAGCTCAGAACAAGGGACTTGGTGGGTCTCAGAGAGAAAACTAGAGGCTAAAGATTAAGGAAGGCGACTCTTAAAAATAGAATAGAGGTGGAAGGGACCCTGGGAGGTCTTCTAGTCAGCTTGAAGTGCTGACACAGTCATTCATTTAAGAACTGCAACAAGGAAGGTCGTAAAATGGGGCAAACTCACGTAACAAATGTCTCACTTAGCAACAGAAATCTTGTGCTCAGTTGTGGTCGTAAGTCCAGGACTACCTGTACAGTGTTTCTCAACCTTGGCCACTTTAAAATGGGTGGACTTCCACTCCCATAATCCCTCGGCCTGCATGCTTTAAGAGGGGTGGACTACAACTCCCAGAATCCCCCAGCCAACATGCTTTAAGAGGGGTGGACTACAATTCCCAGAATTCCCCAGCCATTCATGGTTGCTGGGGAATTCTGGGAGTTGAAGTCCACCTCTCTTAAAGTGACGAAGGTTGAGAAAGATTGAACTAATGCTTTGTGGGTGCCGTGTTTGTGTGATCTAACCCACTAACCCTTGCCCCCAGGAGACCCTCAAGCCCCATGAGGGGGCACGTCCCGTCCGGGCTATCTTCCTGGCCGATGGCCGCGTCTTCACCACCGGCTTCAGCAAGATGAGTGAGAGGCAGTTGGCCCTCTGGGACTTGGTACGACTCACTGGCTGGCATCCGGAGGGGCAACTCACGCCTGGGGGGGGGTCTCTGGGGAGGGGAGAGAGGAAGGGGTGTATATGGGGGCTACGTGAGGATATCTTGACCTTTGACTCCGCAGGAGGAGAAGAAGAGCAGCAGAATTCCCCAGCCAGCTTGCTTTAAGAGAGGTGGACTTCAACTCCCAGAATTCCCTAGCTGGCAAGCATCAAGATGGGTGGACTTCAACTCCCAGAATTCTTGAGCCAGCATGGGGAATTCTGGGAATTGAAGTCCACAGGTTGTAAAATAGCCGTAGCTGCCCACAGTTGGGTTAGTAAGAGTGAATATATCCCCCTTGGCCTTCCTCTTCCTCGTCCCTCTGGCCAGCCAGCTCCTCTGCGCCCCAGCCGGCCCGTAACGCTCTCTTTCCCGTCTGCCAGGAGAGGTTGGCGGCCCACGAAGGGATGAGGCCCATGCGCGCCATCTTTACCCGCGAGGGACAGATCTTCACCACGGGGTTCACCCGCATGAGCCAGCGGGAGCTGGGCCTCTGGGACCCGGTAGTCGGGCTGCATGGTGTGGACCCCCCCCCCATCCCCCCTCTGGGAACTCGGGCATTGCCCGGCCCGGCCCCTCCCCTCCTGTCTCTGGGGGGCAGGCCAGGGGCACTGCGGGCCACGTTCGGGCAATTGGATGGATGCCCACAGGCAGGAGCAGGCCAAGGCCCGAACACAGGTGCACACATTCCCCGTGAAAGTCAGTCCTGCAAAATGCTGAAAGTGAACCTCAAATTTACACAGAAATTTACACAGAGAAATTTACACATTTACACACAGAAATTTACACATACACACATAGACACATTCCCCGTCTAAGTCAGTCCTGCAAAGATGCTGAAAGTGAACCTCAAATTTACACACAGAGAAATTTACACACACACACATTTACACACACACATTTACACACACATTTACAAACACAGAAATTTACACATTCACGCACAAAGACACATTCCCCGTGGAAATCAGTCCTGCAAAGATGCTAAAAGTGAACCTCAAATTTACACACACACAAATTTACACACACACACAAATTTACACACAGAGAAATTTACACACACACACATTTACACACACATTTACAAACACAGAAATTTACATATTCACGCACAGAGACACATTCCCCATGGAAATCAGTCCTGCAAAGATGCTAAAAGTGAACCTCAAATTTGTACACACACCAAATTTACATACACACAAATTTACACACAGAGAAATTTACACACACACATTTACAAACACAGAAATTTACACATTCACGCACAAAGACACATTCCCTGTGGAAATCAGTCCTGCAAAGATGCTGAAAGCGAACCTCAAATTTACACAGAAATTTACACAGAGAAATTTACACACACACATTTACACACACAGAAATTTACACATACACACATAGACACATTCCCCGTCTAAGTCAGTCCTGCAAAGATGCTGAAAGTGAACCTCAAATTTACACAGAGAAATTTACACACACACACATTTACACACACACACATTTACAAACACAGAAATTTACACAATCACGCACAAAGACACATTCCCTGTGGAAATCAGTCCTGCAAAGATGCTGAAAATGAACCTCAAATTTACACACAGAGAAATTTACACACACACACACATTTACACACACACATTTACACACACAGAAATTTACACATTCATGCACAGAGACACATTCCCTGTGGAAATCAGTCCTGCAAAGATGCTAAAAGTGAACCTCAAATTTACACACGCACAAATTTACACACACACAAATTTACACACAGAGAAATTTACACACACATTTACAAACACAGAAATTTACACATTCACGCACAGAGACACATTCCCTGTGGAAATCAGTCCTGCAAAGATGCTGAAAGCGAACGTCAAATTTACACACACAGAAATTTACACAGAGAAATTTTACACACATATTTACACACACACAAACATTCACACGCACATTTACACACACACATTTACAAACACAGAAATTTACACATTCACGCACAGAGACACATTCCCCGTGGAAATCAGTCCTGCAAAGATGCTAAAAGTGAACCTCAAATTTACACACGCACAAATTTACACACACACAAATTTACACACAGAGAAATTTACACACACGTTTACAAACACAGAAATTTACACATTCACGCACAGAGACACATTCCCTGTGGAAATCAGTCCTGCAAAGTTGCTGAAAGCGAACCTCATTTTTACACACACATAAATTTACGCACACACATATTTACACGCAGAGAAATTTACACACAGAAATTTACACACAGAAAACACACACACCCCCTCTATAGAAGCCAGCTCTGGAAAGATGTGAAGCCGACCATCAAGCTGAACTCAGGAATTAAGATAAGGACCTGTAGAGTTACAATTATTCGTTTAGTGACCGTTCAAAGTAACAACAGCAGTGAAAAAAGTGACTTATGACCCTTTTTCACACTTACGACACATGGCATCCCCGTGGTCAGGTGATCGAAATTCAGACGCTTGGCAACTGACTCGTATTTATGACCGTCGCTGTGTCCCGGGTCACGTGATCCCTTTTGTGACCTTCTGATAAGCCAAATCAATGGGAAGCTGGATTCATTTAATGACCGTGTCACTAACTTAAGAACTGTGGCAAGAAAGGTTGTAAAATGGGACAAATTTCTCTTATTAACAAATGTCTTGCTTAGCAACAGAAATTGTGGGCTCAATTGTGGTCATAAGTCTCCTTTTTCCATAACAACCTCCGTTACATTGGATGTCACTTTTCCAAAGACATGTGGGAGTAGGTTAAATGTCAATCAAATTTATTGCCCATCTGGCCAAGATTCTGATTGTCCAGCAGAGGTCAAAACTTGGCCCACCTTGACTCCACTTAACTTTTGGATAGGAGGCCACCAGGTGATCCCAGGGCCAAAAAAGCTTAACTGGGAAACTGAAGCTCCGAGGAGACTTGCATTCCAGTTCTGACCACTCGGTCCGTCCCCGGACAATGCCTGGTTCCCAGAGTCCGATTGCTGTGGATTTGGGGGGGCAGGGGGTGGGGAACAGAAGGGTGCATGGGGGTGTGCTGTGTTCCCAGGCAGGGGGCTGCAAAAAGAGAATGGAGGCCTTCTAAAATAGGTGGTGGGACTAGGAATGGACTATGTAGTCTGTGCAGCCCAGAGTTGTCCCAACTTTTTTTTGGACGCTTTAAGACTTGTGGACTTCAACTCCCAGAATTCCCCAGACAGCCTTTTGGGAGTTGAAGTCCAGTGGTCTTAAAGTGTCCAAGGTTGGGCATCCCTAGTGTAGCCCATGGGGCACTGCGGCTCAGGTGATGGGGGGGGGGAGGCGGTTGGAATGCATGAGGCTAAAGAGGCGGGAGATTAGGGAGAGGTCAGACTAGATGTCCTCTGGGGAACCCTCGGTCAGGCTAGCCCAAGGATGGGACCCTTCAGGAGTGTTTTTGGGTTACAGCTGGCATCGTCGGTGATTCCAGGGGGTGGGATCAGCCTGGGGTCTCCTCCAGCTGTGTGCATGGGCCTCGGAGTGGGCCTGGGGAGGGGTCCTGACTCCTTTCCTGGCCTTTGCAGAAGAACTTTGAGGAGCCCATCGCCCTCCAGGAGATGGACACCAGCAACGGGGTTCTCCTGCCCTTTTACGACCCTGATTCCAGCATAGTCTACCTGTGTGGAAAGGTAGGTAAACGGGAGGAAGGTAATTTCCCCCGGGGGGAGAGGGGCAGGGAGTCCGCTCTGGGGGGAAACGGGGGGGGGCATGTTGATAAATCTGAGGTCCTAACCAAGTGAGTGCAGCCCTGATCACCCCCTCCCACTTTAGACCCACTGCCCCGGTTTGTGACGGGAATAAAAAGGGGGAGATGCAATTGAGTGTCACAATTTTCTTGGAGGAAATGAAAAAGGAAGAATTGCCTTATAGGGGAAATGAGAGAGGGAGGGAGGGAAGGGTGGGAGAGAGAGAGAGAGAGAGTAAGAAAAAAAAGAAAGGAAAGAAAGAAAGAAAGGGAGAGAAAGAAAGAGAAGAAGGAAGAAAGGAAGATGGATGGGAAGAAGGTGGAAGGAAAAAAGGAAGGAAGGAGAAAAAAATGAAAGGAAAGAGAAAAGGAAAGAAAAGGGAAGATGGATAGGAGGAAGATGAGATGAAGGAAGGAGAGAAAAAGAAAGAAGAGCAAGGAAGATGGATGGGAAGAAGGTGGGAGGAAAAAAGAAAGGAGAAAGAAAAAAGAATGAAAGGAAAGAGAGAAAAGGAAAGAAAAGAGGAAGGAAGATGGATAGGAGGAAGATGAGATGAAAGAAAGGAGAGAAAAAGAAAAGGAAGGAAGATGGATGGGAAGAACTTGGGAGGAAAAAAAGAAAGAAAGGAGAAAGAAAAAGAATGAAAGGAAAGAAAGAAAAGGAAAGAAAAGAGGGAGGACGATGGACAGATAGGAGGAAGATGAGATGAAGGAAGGAGAGAAAAAGAAAGAAGAGGAAGGAAGATTGATGGGAAGAAGGTGGGAGGAAAAAAGAAAGGAGAAAGAAAAAGGAAAGAAAGAGAAAAGGAAAGAAAAGAGGGAGGAAGATGGATAGGAAGATGAGATGAAGGAAGGAGAGAAAAAGGAGAAAAGGTGGATGGGAAGAAGGTGGGAGGAAAAAAGAAAGAAAAAGGAATGAAAGAAAAAAAGGAAAGAAAAGAAAAGAAAAGAGGGAGGAAGATGGATAGGAGGAAGATGAGAGGAAGGAAGGAGAGAAAAATAAAAGAAAAGAAAAAGAAAGAAAGAAAAAGAAAAAGAAAGAAAAGAAAGAGAAAGAAAGCTACAGATCCTGGTTTAGGGGAGAACCAGGGCAGGTAATTTCCCGGGGGTGGGGTAGGGGGTGTTGCAGCATTTTGCAAACTGTCTGGGCTGGCTGGGGGAGGACCTTTTCCCCCTGGGCGGGGGGGGGGGGGGGGGGCCGCCGGCCGGCCCCCCCCCCTCCATCCTCCTCCTCCTCCTCCCGCGCAGGGGGACAGCAGCATCCGCTACTTCGAGATCACGGAGGAGGCGCCCTACGTCCACTACCTGAGCACCTACAGCAGCAAGGAGCCCCAGCGCGGGATGGGCTTCATGCCCAAGAGGGGGCTGGATGTCAGCAAGTGCGAAATCGCCAGGTGAGGCTCCGGAGGGGGGGGGGGGGGGGGGGGGGGCAGCCGGGTGCTGGGATCTCCAGGGCAGAAACGCTATGACCCTGCTGCTTGACTCACAATAATTCCTTTAGTGACCGTGCAAAGCTACAATGGCATGGAACAAAGTGACTTACGACCATTTTTCACACTTAATGACCATTGTGGCAGCCACGTGGTCAAAAGTCAGAGGCTTGGCAACTGACTCGTACTTATGACGGTGTCAGAGTCCCTGGGGTCACATGATCCCCTTATGGCGACCTTCTGACAAGCAAAATCCATGGGGAAGCCAGATTCACTTAACAACCATATGACTTAACAACTGTAGTGATTCACTTAACAACTATGTTACAGGTAGTCCTCGACTTACAACGGTTCATTTAGTAACTGGTCGAAGTTACAACGACACTGAAAAAAGTGAATTGCGACCAGTTTTCACATTTACAACCGTTGCAGCATCGCCAATGAGTCACGTGATCAAAATTCAGACCCTTGGCATCTGACTCGTATTTATGACGGTTGCAAAGTCCCGGGATCACATGATCCTCCTTTGGCGACCTTCTGACCAGCAAAGGACTCACTTAAGGACCGTGTGACTAACTTAACAACAGCAGCAATTCACTTAACAACAGTGACAAGAAAACTCGTGAAATGGAACAAAACTCACTTGACGTCTGTCTCGCTCAGCAACAGAAACTGCGCTGGGCTCAGCTGGGCTCATAAGTCGATCTTACAATCACCATTGGGACCACAGCTGTTAAGCAAGGCAGCTGTTAAGTAAGCCGTGCCCAGTGTCATGACCAATTTTCCCACGGTTGTTAAGTGAATCAGGCAGTTGCTAAGCGAATCCAGCTTCCCCCATTGACTTCACTTGTCGGAAAGCCAGCGTGGAAGGTCGCAAATGATGATCCTAGGACAGTGATGGCTAATCCTTTTGCCGTCACATGCCAAAAGCGGAGAGAGACCAGGGGGGGTGTCACACGGGTGTGTGCCCACACCCATAATTCAATGTGCCCCACCCCCTGTGCATGCCCGCATGACACCACCCCCTGCGCGCTCCGTCCACTTTTGGCACACGATGGCACGGTAGGCCCATTTTTCGCCCTCCCCAGGCTCCAGACGCTTTCTAGGAGCCTGGGGAGGGTGAAAACGGCCTTCCCCCCGCCACCGGAGGCCGTTTCCCAACTTCCAGTGGGCCCAGAAGGCCCGAAAATCAGCTGGCCAGTGCGCGCATTCATGCTGGAATTGAGCTAAGGCAATGCTCGCGTGCCACAGGTTCACCATCACGGCCCTAGGATGCTGCAACCATCCTAAGTACATTACAGTTGCCAAGCACGCAAATTTTGATCAGGTGACTATGGCGATCTGCAACGGTCATAAGTGCGAGGACTGGTCATAAGTCACTTTTTCCAGTGGCCGTTGTAACTTTGGTCCCTAAAGGAATTGTAAGTCAAGAAGCAGCTGTAATAGGTTTTACTGATTATATCAGAACATTGTCTTGATTAGTAGATTATTATTGATAAATGACTGTTACACTGGTGATGACTATTGATAAGTCTAAAATAAATCACAATTGATAAATGTCTATTGATAAATATGAAATAAGGGAGCCGATTTTTATTCTCCCTTCAATCATAGATTGCATCGTTTTATATTTATTTTTAATGTTTTTATATTCTTTGTTTTTACCTATTGTTGTGCACCTTCAGTGCGATGGGCGGCTATATAAATTCAATTAACTAACAAACCAATAAAAAAACATTTACTTGCCATCTTTTCTTTCTTAGTTTGTATTTTGAATTGGCTTGGCAGTATCCCTTTTCTCATCTTTTTTTCTTTCTCCTTTCCTTTATTTCTTCATCAAATTTCTCTACCGTTTTTCTTTCTGCGTATTTCTTTACTAATTTTTTTAAAGCTCCTGCTTTAAAGGTTGTTTTGCTAATTGCATAAAAATAAGAAGGTGAAATAAAAATGATTTCAATGCACAATTTAATAATGGTGCCAGGAATTATTCAGGGTAAGGTTGGTAAGGAAGAAACCGTTGGCAAAGAGAAAATCTTCTCCAACTAATAAATTATATATTCAACGGCAGAAGCTTTTCAAAACTGCAGCTCTCTACATCCCAGGCCAAGAATAGCTAAACTGGTGTAGGATCTAAATGATAATTTAGATGTAGCATCTAAATTATAGCTTGTCATTATTTAATTATTATATATTGGAACAAGGGTGCTGCACGATGGCTGTTTTCCAGCCAATAAATTCAATTAAAATATGTAAAGTTTTGTAAGTTGCAGTATTTTTTAAAACTTTTTAAGATGGGTGGACTTCAACTCCCCATCAACGCTGACTGGGGAATTCTGGGAGTTGAAGTCCACGCTTCTTAAAGGGGTCGAATTGAGAACCATTGGACTTAATTTGATGCAAAGACCACCCAAAAAAAAAAAACACGTGGGGGGGGGTGGGGGGTGGGGGGGGGAGGGAGGGGAGATTGTATGACTTTAAAAGAAATTTCTTAGGGTGGGGATCCAAAAACACCCCCTTCAGATAAGAAGGGATTTCCCTTCCACTCCTTCTCTAGGAACAACAAACTGAATTGACCTGATTCAGAAGCAGGAAGGGGGATTATGGGTTGGGGGGAAAGGGATGAGGGGTGCGGGGAGCCTATACAAGATTTCAGCCGTGTCAGACTCATAACTTCCTTCTCTCTCCCCCCTCCACCCATCACCACACAGGTTTTACAAGCTGCACGAACGAAAATGTGAGCCCATTGTTATGACTGTACCCCGAAAGGTGAGTTTTTTATGAATTAATTAATTCATTATTAATTAATTAATTAATTAATTAATTAATTAATTAATTCCGTTTGTCTGGAATGGAGTAGTTGTTCTAACCTAGGCTTCCTGAGACGGTAAAAAGCACACGATTAGTCCCAAAAACCCTCTTTTTATTTCAATGGCTCTGAATTCATTCCCGTAATGAGTTACAAAGAGTTTGTAAAGACTCCGACGGACGTCTGCCACAGTCCTTCGGGATAAGGCTGATAAGCACCCACCTTGATCTCCCTTGAGACTAAGACCTCATCGGCCATTAGCTTTGCAAGGCCACACGGAGCACAGAGTCAAAACGGAGCTGCAGACTTTAAACTGATCAGGACGAACAAAGTTGCTTCCTGCAAAGGCTCATGTCCCTTTCAGAGGTGGGTTTCAGCAGGTTCTGACCAATTCTGGAGAACCGATAGCGGAAATTTTGAGTAGTTCGGAGAACCGGTAAATACCACCACTGACTGGTCCTGCCCCCATCTATTCTCTGCCTCCTGAGTCCCAGCTGGTCGGGAGGGAATGGAGATTTTACGGTATCCTTATCCTGCCACGCCCACCAAGCCACGCCCATAGAACCGGTAGTAAAAAAATTTGGATCCCACCACTGGTGCCTTTGCTCCTCCTTTATGTCTTATGGGAGGGGCCAATCATCTCCAAGCCTTACTCCCGAGCTGTCCCTTTTGTCTTAACTGTTCTTGCCTTCTGGCAGCTCTGTGCATGCGCGCATTGGGAACAGGCTCCTCCTGTTCCTTTGCCTCGCTGAGGTCCGACTCTGGAGGCTCCGGGGGCAGCACATAACTCCTAGATGGCCCTGGCCCCCTCTCTGCCTCCGACGCAGAGCCCTCGTCCGAGCCTTCCCCAGACTCCAGGACTGGCCCATGTTCCTCCCCAGCCTCCTCACTGCCCGACTCCGACGCCAGCTCTGCAGAAAGACTTTTACCCTGGAACCCCAAATCTGTATCTACCACCTTCAGCTGCAGTCGGCTTTAAGATAGGTGGACTACAACTCTCAGAATTTCCCAGCCTGCATTCTTTAAGAGGGGTAGACTTCCACTCCCAGAATTCCCCAGCCAGCAATGCTTTATGATTGGTTGACTTCCATTCCTAGAATCCCCCAGCCAGCAGGATTTAAGAGGGATGGATTTCCACTCCCAGAATTCCCCAGCCAGAAGGATTTAAGAGGGGTGGATTTCCACTCCCAGAATCCCCCAGCCAGCAATGCTTTATGATTGGTGGACTTCCACTCCCAGAATCCCCCAGCCAGCAGTATTTAAGAGGGGTGGGCTTCCTAGCTGGGGAATTCTGAATGTCCAGACATTTTAAAGTTACCGAAGTTGGCAAAGACTGGGACAACTTCCAAAATGCTTACGAAACCCATCTCCCCATTCTTGGCAGTCGGACCTCTTCCAGGATGACCTGTACCCGGACACCCCTGGTCCTGAGCCGGCCCTGGAGGCGGATGAATGGCTGGCGGGGAAAGACGCGGAGCCCCTCCTGGTCTCCCTGCGGGACGGCTACGTCCCCCTCAAGAACCGCGAGCTCAAAGTCAGTAAGAAGAACATCCTGGACACGAAGCCTCCCCTGGGCTCACGCAGGAGCCTCTCCAGCTGCGGCTCCAATTTTTCTGTGAGTTGTTGGCTGTTTTGTGAGTGTGTGTGTGTGTGTGAGAGAGAGAAAATGTGGATTTTGTCTGTGAAAATCAACTGAGCGCCACGTTCCTTAACTGACATACCTCCTTCTCTCTCTTTCTTTTTTATCTTTCTTCTCTTCTTCTTCTCTTTTCTATCTTCTCCTCTATTTCTCTTCATTCTCCTCCTCTCCTCCCCTTCTTCCTTTTATTTTTTTCCTCTTTCTTCTCCTTTCCTCCCCTCTTTCTTCTCCTCTACTTGTCTTTTTTCATTTCCCTCTTCCTTCTTCCTCCTTCTCCTTTTTTCCTCTCCATCTCCTCCTTTCTTTCTTCTCCTTTTCATTCTCCTCATCGTCCTCTTCTTTTCCTTTTTTCTTCTTTCTCCTCCTCTCCTCCCCTTCTTCCCTCCTCCTTTTTTATTTTTTTCCTTTCTTCTCCTTTCCTCCCTTCTTTCTTCTCCTCTACTTGTCTTTTTCATTTCTCTCTTCCTTCTTCCTCCTTTTTTTCCTCTCCATCTCCTCCTTTCTTTCTTCTCCTTTTCATTCTCCGCATCGTCCTCTTCTTTTCCTTTTTTCTTCTTTCTCCTTCTCTCCTTATCCTTTTCATTCTCCTCCACCTGTTTTCCTTTTTCTCCTCTTCCTTTTTCTCCTCCTTCTCCTCCTCCCTCATCATCTTTTCCTTCTCCTTTTCTTCCTCCCTTCTTTTCCTGTTTTCTTTTTCTCCTCCTTTTTCTTTCTTTTTTCTTCTCTCCTCCTTCTCCTCTTTCCCTCCTCCTCCTCCTCCTCCTCCTCCTCCTTCTCTCTCTCACTCCCCTCCCAGACCTCCACCCTTGAAGACCTCTTGCAAGAAATTCGCACTCTGCGCCAGACCATCCAAGATCACGAGAAGCGCATCACCGACCTGGAAAACACCCTCTGCGAACTCGCAGACGTGACGGACTAGCCTCTTCCGCACCCAGAACGTTGCCATCCCGGAGACAAGACCGAGCATCTCCCCCACCCCCGTCCATCTGCTTCTTCTCAGCTCAATGGGCATTCGTAGGGGCTGCTCCCCATCGCAGGGAATGGCCCTGCTCTCTTCTCGTCCCTTTCTCTCCAACCTGACTACGGGCTGCCTTGACTTTTGCGGTGGAAGTGGAGTTCAGAGAAAAGATCTTCCGTGGACTGCTGGACGCTCGGGGTGGGGTGGGGGTGGGGAATGCGGGGTAGGGTTGCTGTGATGCCAACTCACCTTTCGGCCTCCAGGGGTGGGGCAAAGGGGGTGGGGGTTGCCGTGAGCCACAGGTGTGTTGTGAGTTTTGCAGTGCGACAGAAGGGGGACCCTTAGATTTGCAGGATTAGAAATGGGTCTTTGGAGAGGGAGAGAGAGAAGGGGGCAGCCAGACCCTGCTGGCGGGGGATTGGTTTTACTGGAGGGGTAGGGGGGGCCAAGAGGATTCTCCAGCCCCTGCTGGAAGGGGAGGGGGGAGCAACACTGTTCCAAGGGGAGGCATCTGCAGGTACTGCTTTCCGTGATAAATTGAGGTGGGGGTTTGCCTGCTGCCTGCGGCGAGGAGTTTTCCATCTCCATTGCTGAATGTTGTACAGATGTTGCACAGCTGGGCCAGGCCCAGATGTGCTGCCTGGGCTGTATATGCGGAGGAACAAGGATGCTGGCTTACAGCAACACCTCCCCCTCCCCATCTGCTTGTAATGCAAAGGGACCCCCCCCCATCCCTGGTGGGTTGGGTGGGGGGGAGAGAGAATAGGGCCATTGCTCATTTGCATATGCTGATAAATATATATACATATATATATTTATAATATATATATATAATGTGGCTCATTTCCAATGGCTGAGCAGACTTCTTGATTGTGAGTTATTTTTTTAGGGTGTGGGGGGGAAACAGGCAAGACTGGGGCCCAGCTGGATGCCCTTGAGGGAACCCACAAGCAACCTCAGAGGACAGCTGCATTCTCCGTCCATGGACAGCAACGCAGGCTGGGGAATTCTGGGAGTTGAAGTCCACCCATCTTAAAATGGCCCAATTTGAAAGACCCTGGTTTAAACTCTACACGGCATCAAATGAAATGTGCAGGGCAGGCAGTCCTCGTCTTACGACCCCCCTTGAGCCCCAATTGTCAAGTGGCTAAGCGAGACAGCAGTTATGTGAGTTTTACCACCTTTCTTGCCGTAGTTGTAGTTTAACTTAGTCGAACGGTCGTTAAATGAATCTGGCTTCCCCATTTAACGCTGCTTGTCAGGAGGTCGTACCTGACCCCGGGAAACAGCGACCGTCATAAGTACGAGTTGGTGGCCAAGCACCCGAATTTTGATTAGGTGACCATGGGGCTGCAGCAACCGTCGTAAGTCTAAAAAACGGTCCCAAGTCATTTTTTCCTGTGCTGTTGGAACTTCAAACGGTCACTAAACGAACCGTTGTAACTCGAGGACCGATCTGAAGCTCGCAAAATCTTTCTGCCTTGGAGTCAAATGTGTTAAATCAGAAAAGATGCTTCCAGACTCCTGATTTTTGCAAAACCACCAGGCACCCTTGTTCCAAAACGATGGTCCTCGACTTACAACCGTTCATTTAGTGACCGTTCAAAGTTACGACGGCACTGAAAAAAGCGACTTAGGAGCGTTTTTCACACTTACGACCGTTGCAGCATCCCCGTGATCACAGGATCAAAATTCCTTGGCAACGGACTCATATTTATGACGGTGGCAGAGTTCTGGGGTCACGTGATCCCTATTTGCAACCTCTTGACGAGCAAAGTCAATGGGGAAACCAGATTCGCTTAACGACCATGTCACTAACGTAATCAACTGCAGTGTTTCACTTAACAACTGTGGCCCAAACAGTCGTAAAATGAGGCAAAATTCACTTAACGAATGTTTCGCTTAGCAACACAAATTTTGGGCTCGATTGTGGTCATAAGTCAAAAACTAGCTATAGATATAATAATATATAATATAAATCTTCCATCAGGCTATCCAGTCTGCATTTTATTAAGGACTCACAAAATCTGATGACTTTAACTAAAATATTTTAATTTTAATCTCTTTTCTAAAGAAAGCAGAGAGAAAATGTGGCATTATCAGATCTCTGGCCAGTTGCAATCCAATCTGATTTATTTATTTTTTTAAATAAAAAAATAAATTTACATTTGGGAATGCCACCTTTCCTGACGAAAAAAATGACGAATAAATGAATCAATACAGGTAGTCCTCGACTTACAACCGCAACGGAGCCAAAAATCTACGTTAAGTGAAACATTTGTTAAAAGAGTTTTGCCCCGTTTTACGACTTTTCTGGCCACCGTTGTTAAGTGAACCATTGCAGCTGTTCATTTAGTAACATGGTGGTTAAGTGAATCTGGCTTCCCCATTGTCAGAAGGTTGTAAAAAGGGATCATGTGACCCCGGGACACTGCAACCGTCATAAATATGAGTCAGCTGCCAAGCGTCTGAATTTTGATCACATGACCATGGATATACTACGAAGGTTGCAAGTATGAAAAATGCCCCTAAGTGACCTTTTTCTCATCACCGTTGTAACTTTGAAGGGTCACTAAATGAACTGTTGTAAATTGAGGACTACCTGTACAGCCCTGTACAACAGGGCGACAAAAATCAGATCTGCAGAATCGCAGATGAACTCCAGGAGGCAGTATGGCACAGAGATCCCCACCCCCCATACTTAACTCTGCCCCCTGGTGGCCGTTGCAATCTTTGCAACTCAGATCGGATTGCTTTTAGGAAGTCCTCGATGTACGACCGTTCATTCGACAAGTTCGAAGTGGCCACTGCACTGGAGGAAAAAAAAAAAAAGGGATTATAACTTGACTTCAAGTCGAGTCATTTTTTTCCCCCAAGGCCGTTGTAACTTTGGTCGCTAAACGAGGTCATAACGTTGAGGGCTACCTGTGCCAGAACGCTGCTGACGAATGCACAATATTTGGGCTTTTCCCCCACCTGTGTACCTGAAGAGGTGGGACGCCCCATTTCCAAACAGCTTCAAATTTAAGCAAAGGGGCCTTTTGCAGCCCCCCACCCCAAAAAAACAGAGGCAGAAACAAGCGAGGGTTCTTAAGGTATTTTATTGGTGTTTCTGTGCAGGTAAAACACACCTGGCCCCCCCCAGGTGGTACGTCTCCATCGCCTTCCCCGAACGTGTGGGATGCCCAGAAGCCCCCTACCCTCCTTGTAATTGCTGTAGTTTGATCTTAGCTCCTTTGCCCCCCCCCAAAAAAAAACACAAGGCCCCCTCTGGCTTCCCTGGGGGAGTAATAGAAGAGGAGGGGGCTGTAGGCTATTCGTTTCCCCCACCGTCCTCACTCCTACCCTGGCCGAGGGGTCTCCACCCACCCCAGAGGTTAGCACCATGGAACGACAGGATTGGAACGACCTTGCAAGGGGGCACCGGCATTGGGGGGGGTCTTCTTCCTTGGAAATGGGGAAGGGGGGGCCAAATTGGAAAAGTGCCAATCCTTAGCAGCCCACCCACCCACCCAGGCCCCCATTAGGATCACAGAAAGGGGCTTTGGAGGAGGCGGTGGAGAAAAGGAGGGGCAGGGTTGGGACCCCACCCCATGTCTCCCCATATTTCCCCCCCCACATGGCCTGCCCCCCCCCGTTGGCACTGCCTCCTCTTGCACCCAAGTCCTCCCTCCCCAATACCAGCCTGGGTACCCCATAAACGGCCCTGCACCCATTGGGGGAGGGGGGTTCAGTTGGGGGGGGCACAGCCTCGGAACGAACCTGGAATCTCCCAGAAGGTGGGTGTAGACCTGATTGGCAGGCAGGGGGCGGGGTTAAGTGCACTTGGTACTACTGGTGCAGAAACTGGGGTATGTGGGAAGTGGGGGGGGAGAGACGCTGCCGTGGGGATCCCCCAAACATCTCGGGGTGATTTTTTTTCGCTCCCTATTTTGTGCTCGACAAAAGATAGAAGTTCTGATTGGCTTCCGGGAAGGTCTGAAGTAGTGGTGAGGTCGAAAAAGTCAAGATGGCGGCCAAGTTGGCACCAAGCCCCGCCCACTTCTTTTTTAATGTGCTCATCCGTGAATTAACAAGGTTTCCGATTCTGTGCTAAATTAAACCAGGATTCATTCCCGTAAGCTGTTTTTTCTCCTTTCTTTTTTTTTTTTGCATTTCCTGAATTCAATACAGGTAGTCCTCAAGTTACAACAGTTTGTCTGAACGGCCAAAGTTTACAATGGGGCGCTGGAAAGAGTCACTTATGACTGTTTCTCACACTTACGACCGTTGCAGCCTCTGTCCCCGATCGTGTGAGCAAAATTTGGACGTTCCCGGAGTCACGAGATCCCATTTTGCAACCTTCTGACAAGCAGTGGGGAAGCCAGATTCACATAACAACCGGGTTACTGACTTAATAACTACAGCGATTCACTTAACAACGGTGGGAAGAAAGATCGTAAAATGGGGCAGAACTCGCTTCACAACTGTCTTGGCTTAGCCACGGATATGTTGGCCTCCATTGTGGTCGTAAGTCGAGGACTACCTGCTCCTTGGTTTATGACCGGTTAGGATGGACCTCCCCGGGGGGGGGGGAGGATGGAACCCCAGTTCTGAAGTTCCAAAGGCTGCCCCATCCCCACCCCGGAAATGATCATATGACCGCATATTGGCAATCGGACACAATAACGGTTCTTTCCTGCTTCCCACAGTGACGTGACCTCACTTTATGTCGTTTTTGCCAAAAGTGGGGAAAAAGTGGGGAGAGGGGGAGGAGAATGGTCATAAGTCCACATCCTTCAATGCTGTTGCAACGTCAAACGGTCACAAAACAAATGGTTGTAAGTTGAGAACTACCTGTAATTAGGACCGAAAGGGCCCTTCGAGGTCTTCTAGTCCAACCTGCTACTCAACCCAGAAACCCAGCATGTCTTCCATTCCAACAATTGGGTGTTAAGGCTCCAAATTTGCTCCCCCCCAACCCCAAATCGGCTCCGTTCTCCAATTGGACCCAGGTTAAGAATTGGGATTTGCAAAAGTCAAGCTGGCCTCTAGAGGGCAGCCCGACGGAGAATGCTTGCGCCCTCTGGTGGTGCTCTGGGATTTTGCACCCTGATGGGTTGAGATGCACCCCTACCTGCCCAATGGACGGAACCCAGAGTCTTGCAGCCCCCCGGCCCAGAAAAAAGGGGGCAGGGAAGGAAGCCCCTTCCCCTATTTACCGCAATGAGCGACAGGAAAGAGAGCGGGACAGTGGCCAACCTCGGACTGATTTAAACCCTCCCACCGTCCAAGGAGGGTCAAATTAAATGGCTCAATTGTGAGAGGGGAAACGTGTCCGGACCCCTGCCAGCCCCCCCGGCTGTGCCTCCCACATCCCGCCCCACTTTTTGTGCAAGAGTTGAGCCAGAACAGGGGAAGGCACAGTCTGTTAAGCACTGGTTGGTGGGCCCCGGGGACTGGCCGGGGCTGTGTGTGCGTACCCCCCGCCGAGACCCTCGGGGTGTGGGGGGGACCCTATTGTTCGGTGAGGGAGAGGCGCAGGATCCGTTCCAGTTCTTCCTGCTCCAGGCGCGAGCGCCGTTCGGCCTCTTCCTGCTCTTTGGCGGACAGTGCCATGGCCAGGCGCAGCTGCTCGGCGTACGTGGGCAGCCCGTGGCCGGGGCCACGGCCTGCTGCGGGGAGCAGCGGCTGAGGGGTGGCAGGCCGCGGGGGTGGCGTGTGCTGGGGTGTCCTGGGTGGGGGGGTGAGAGGAAACAAAAGAGAGGTTAGCCAAGCATATTTATATTTGCATATTTATTTGCATATTGGCCTAAATCTTCTCCCTTTTAAAATTTAAATTTTAAACACTAATTTTAATTTGTTTAATTATGGGATATTTTTAAAATTTAGCCAAATTGTTTAATCTGTTTTAATTTATTTTAAATTTTGTATCTCTGTGTTTTATTTTTTGGCTGTTCACTGCCCTGAGTCCTTCGGGAGAAGGGCGGTATAGAAATTTAATAAAGTAAAATAAATAAATAAATTTATATTTTATATTTTATTCAATTTGTATACCGCCCTTCTAGTGGACTCAGGGTGGTGCACAGCCAGAACTAAAACACTTACCAATACAAAATTTAAAAATTATTAAAAGAATTACATGACTTTGCCCCAAATTTAAAACAATTCAAATTAAAACCCATTGACAAATTAAAAGCTAAAAAACTAAAAAACTAAAAAGAAGCATCTGGGATACTGGTGTGTGATGCTTCCTAATGCTTCTCTGGACATCTGCATTGCACATCTCGTTGATTTGAGAGGGTCTTTGGTCTTTTCTTGCAGACATTTCATGACCCAACTAGGGAACATCATCAGTGCTAGAAGGCAGGGGGGGGTTGTGGAGAGGAGGAGGAAGAAGTGAAGGAGGAACAGGAGGAGGAGGAAAAAGAGGAGGAGGGAAGAGGAGGAGGAAGATGACGGTGGGGTCCTTGGTCCTCTCTGAGCTGGATTGTTTTCTTGCAAACATTTCATGACCCAACTAGGGAACATCATCAGTGCTAGAAGGTGGGGGGCGGTTGTGGAGAGGAGGAGGAAGAAGTGAAGGAGGAGGAGGAACAGGAGGAGGAGGAAAAAGAGGAGAAGGGAAGAGGAGGAGGAAGATGACGGTGGGGTCCTTGGTCCACTCTGAGCTTGGGTGCTTTTCTTGCAGACATTTCATGACCCAACTAGGGAACATCATCAGTACAAGAAGGGAATGGGGTTTGTGGAGAAGAAGAGGAGGAGGAGGAGGAGGAGGAGGGACGACTGTGGGGTCCTTGGTGTTCTCTGAACTTGGTTGTTTTCATGACCCAACTAGATAACATCGAGAAGGGCAGCTAGAAGGGAGTGGGGTTTGCAGAGAGGAGGAGGAGGAGGAGACGGAGGGATCCTTGGTGCTCGCTGAGATTGGTGGCTTTTTGTAGACGTTTCATGACCCAGCGAAAGGACATCATCAGTGCTGGGAGGAGGAGGAAGAGGAATCATCCTTGACCAATCGAAGGCAGTATTTGTAGCTCAAGGCTGAATTTGTGGGGTCCTTTGCGCTCTCTGAACGTGGATATTTTCTTGCAGGGCATTTCATGACCCAAACTAGGTAACATCATCAGTGCTACCGGTACTAAGGAATCCTTACTAGCACCTTACTACTAGCACAGATAACGTTGCCTAGTTTGGGTCAGGAAATGTCTGCAAGAAAACAACTAAGCCCGACAGCACCAAGGACCCCATGACCCTCCTCCTCCTCCTTCTCCTCCACTGCATATATACCCCCACTCCCTCTACCACTGATGATGTTATCAACTCGGGTCATGAAACGTCTGCAAGAAAATAACCCAGCTCAGAGAGGACCAAGGACCCCTCATTTTAATCCTGAGCTATAAATATTCTCCTTTATTGGTACACAGTCACACTGCTTAACTTTAAGCCTCCTTCAAGGCCAATTACTTTTTTGTGACTTATTTGCCCAATGTTAATTCAGCTATTTTGGGTAGATGATAGTAGTGCAGATGTAGAAAAACTGGATTAAACTGAAAAAAAAAAGATTAAAATGCTGTCTAAACCCAGCTGGAGGTTATATTTTTTTTGACTGGCTATGGATTTCTCTGAATTCACATCTTTCTGGACTTCACCTGTTTATTAAGCAATAGAATTACTAGATTTTAACTCCAGCTGTCCCAAATTTATTTATTCTATTTAATTTAATTAAATAAAAATAAGAAAAGATTTACAGGTAGTCCTCGATTTACGACCACAGTTGAGGCCAAAATTTCTGTCGCTACGCAAGACAGTTAAGTGAGTTTTCTTGCCACCGTTGTTAAGTGAATCACTGCAGCAATTCAGTTAACCACACAGTTGTTAAGTGAATCCAGCTTCCCCATGGATTTTCCCCTGTCAAAAAGTTGCAATAGGGGAATATGTGACCCTGGGACACTGCAACCCGTCATAAATACGAGTCAGTTGCCAAGCGTCTGAATTTTGATCACGTGACACCATGGGGGTCGTAAGTGTGAAAAGCAGTCGTGAGTAACTTTTTTCAGTGCTGTTCTAACTTTGGACGGTCACGAAACGAAGGGTTGTAAGTCAAGGACTACCTGTAAGAGTGTGAAATTGACAAACATGCAGAATTGAGGAAGTGAAATTGACCGATCTCGAAGAGGAAGTGACACTGGGAGAGAACCTCACCTGTTGACTCTGCGGCCTTCCTGGGACACTGGCAGGGTACCTGGTTTGCTGTTGGTCAAAGCTTCCCAAATAGTTACCTGCGGGAAGGAGACAGGTAATTTGACTCCCTCAAATGGTCATTTAAATACCTAAGAGACCTGGTTCAGATGAGAAACCAGCCTATGCTTTACTGTCTCTTCTTAAAAACCTCCAGTGATGAAGCACCCACAACGTAGAGCCTTGGTAGTACAGTGGTCTAAAGCACCCTGTTATTAAGACCAGCTGCCTGCAATTACTGCAGGTTCGAATCTCACCAGGCTCAAGGTTGACTCAGCCTTCCATCCTTTCTAAGGTAGGTAAAATGAGGACCCAGTTTGTGGGGGCAATAAGCTGACTTTGTATAAATATACAAAAGTATGAAGGCTATTGCTTAGCGCATTGTAAGCCGCCCTGAGTCTCCGGAGAAGGGCGGCATATAAATCAAATTTTAAAAAAAAAACGTCTGGTGGCAAGTAGTTCCACTGGTTAAATGTCCTCACAGTCAGGAAGTTTCTCCTTAATTCCAGGTTGCTTCTCTCCTGGATTAGTTTCCATCCTTTGCTTCTTGCCTGCCTTCAGGTGCTTTGGAGAACAGGTTGACCCCCAATTCCTCTTTGGGGCAGCCCCTCAAATACTGGAATGCTGCTAATCATGCCCTCCCCCCCCCCAAGTCCTTCTTTTCTCTAGACTGGCCAAACCCAAATCCTGCAATTCTGTTCTTCCTATGTTTTAGTCTCCAGGCTTTTAAATCATCTTAGTTGCTCTTCTCTGCACTTTTTCCAAAGTCCCAACATCCCCAGCGCTGGCTGGGGGATTCTGGGACTTGAAATCCACCCCTCTTCAAGCTTCCAAGGTGGAGAAACACTGTTTTAGAGGGTCGTTGAGGCCGCTTGGAGGATTCTCTGTGTCCTCAGGGTCATCTGAGTGGTGCAAATGGGTGTGGAGCCTCCTTGGAACTGCTGAAAGGACTGTGTTGAAGACCAGAGGTAGATGAAGTTGTATCTCTCCCCTTCTCAGAGAAGGTTCCACACCCATTTGCACCTCTCAGGTGACCCCCGAGGACACAGACAAAACTCCCAGGTTTCCTCAACGTCTCTCTAAAAGGATGCAAATGACCAGCTGTCTGCAAGGCGTATAAATCCTTCCTTTCCCCGCCATCCAGTCAGAAGCTGAAGAAGCTTCTGGGATGAGAAGCGAAACGTCTTCAAACAATTGATCAGTGGAACAACTTGCCTCCAGAAGTTGTGAATGCTCCAACACTGGAAGTTTTTAAGATGATATTGGATAACCATTTGTCTGAAGTGGTGTAGGGTTCTATTCTATTCTATTCTATTCTATTCTATTCTATTCTATTCTATTATTCTATTCTATTCTATTCTATTCTATTCTACTCTACCCTACCCTATTCTTCATTCCAATATACTATTCTATTCTATTCTATTCTATTATTCTATTCTATTCTATTCTACTCTACTCTACCCTACCCTACCCTATTCTTCATTCCAATATACTATTCTATTCCATTCTATTCCATTCCATATTTTCTATTCTATTCTATTCTATTCTATTCTATTCTATTCTATTCTATTCGTCTATTCCATTCTATATTTTCTATTTACTCTACTCTATTCTCTTCTATTCTATCAATTCTATTCTATTTTATTCTATTCCATTCTTTTCCAATCCATATTTCTATTCTATTCTATTCTATTCTATTCTATTCTATTCTATTCCATTCCATATTTTCTATTCTATTCTATTCTATTCTATTCTATTCTATTCTATTCTATTCTATATTTTCTATTCTATTCTATTCTATTCTATTCTATTCTATTCTATTCGTCTATTCCATTCTATATTTTCTATTCTACTCTACTCTACTCTATTCTATTCTATCAATTCTATTCTATTTTATTCTATTCCATTCTTTTCCAATCCATATTTTCTATTCTATTCTATTCTATTCCATTCCATTCCATATTTTCTATTCTATTCTATTCTATTCTATTCTATTCTATTCTATTCTATTCGTCTATTCCATTCTATATTTTCTATTCTACTCTACTCTACTCTATTCTATTCTATCAATTCTATTCTATTTTATTCTATTCCATTCTTTTCCAATCCATATTTTCTATTCTATTCTATTCTATTCTATTCTATTCTATTCTATTCTATTCTATTCTATTCTATTCTATTCTATTCTATCCTATTCTTTATTCCAATATACTATTCTATTCTATTCTATTCTATTGTATTGTATTCTATTCTAATTCTATTCTATTCTATTCTATTCTATTCTATTCTATTCTATTCTATGAAAAACCAGAAACTCCAGTTGCCTCTTATAAAAAGAGGACCTTTGGGAACACTTCACCTGATTTTGATTCTATGCCTCTGTTTAGACAACCAAGAATTGTATTCGCTTTTTTGGCTGCCGCCGCACACGGCTGGCTCGTGTTTAAGGGATCGTCTACTAGGACTCCAAGGTCCCTCTCGCAGTTAACTGTTTTGGAGCCAATTTGTTTCTCCTAATCTTCATGGAATCACCACGGATGCCCATTTCGGCAGCTGCAGCCGCACCCCTATAAATGGGGTGGGCTTCAATCCCAGTTCTGGGTACCCCCTTTGACCCCCCCCCTGCTTCTGGCCCCTCCATCCCACAAGGTCAGTTCTCCCCTACCTGATCGTATTCGCTGCCCGCCTCGAGCAAGCTCTGCTGGATGGCGAACTGCAGAAGATCGTCTTCGTCTTCCCTCAACGGCTCCGGGTGCCTCCCGACGATGCTGTAGCCCTGGGGGGCCTCGAAGAGGGAGGGGTCCATCTCAAAGCAGCGGCAGGAGCCTGCGAGGAGGGGGTCCAACCACCATCGGAATAACAAGAGTTGGAAGAATAACAGAATAACAAGAGTTGGAAGGGATCTTAGAGCAGCGGTCACCAACTGGTGGTCCGTGGATCACTTGTGGTCTGTGAGAAAGTTTTGGTGGTCCTCAGAAAAATTATTTGCATTTTTTTATATTGCATTAAATCAGGGGTCCTCAAACTACGGCCCCTGGGACGGATACGTGCAATGAACGTTTGTGTTGCTGCAGAGAGTTTCCCCCCTTCGGGGTCTTTTTGGGTGGGTCGGAGGGGGGCAGAAATTCCGACTTGGGGTCTGCTTCGGCCTCCTGGTGGGGGGCTTTGGGCGAAGGCTGGAGGGAAGGGCCACTGGTGGAGAAGAGCCAAAGGGCCTCGTTCCAGTGGGACTGCATCATGGCCTGGAACTGGCTGACCATCTCAGCCTGCTGAGCCTCCAGGGGCCGGTACCCGGCCTTGCACTCCCGCAGGTCTTCCCTCTACTTGGAAAGCCTATGCTCCTAGTCCTCAGTGAGGTGCTTCTGCTGAGCCTCCTTCTCGGTCAGATCCAATTTGAACTGAGCTGTTTTGCCGACTCTTTCTCGTGGCGGCTGCTTAGCTCCAGCAACTGCTTCCTGTTGAGGCCCTAAGGAGGCCGGGCGGGCAGGCAAAGAGGGGCTGGGAGGGGAGGGGCGAGTAGAGGCTGGCGAGGTGCCCCTCGACATGAGTGACATCGAGTTGGCCACACCCACCCAGTTACATGACCACCTAGCCACGCCCACCCATCTGGTCATTAAGCAGATCATATTAGTGGTCCACGGAATTTAAAATTATGAATTGAGTGGTCCCTGAAAGGTTGAGGACCCCTGATCTAATCCAACCCCCTGTCCAAGCAGGAGATCCTACACCATTTCTGACCGATGGCAGTCCAGTCTCTTTTTAAAAGCCTCCAGTGATGAGGCTCCCACAACTTCCGAAGGCAACTTCTGTTCCACGGGTTGATTGTTCTCACTGTCAGAAAATTCCTCCTTACTTCTAAGAAACTATTAGATTTGATCAGGGATGGAAGGCCACTAGGAGATCCCAATATAGGGTAAGACGGGTGTCAGCACTCCAAAATACATTCGTTCCAGTGCTGACATAAGGAAGAGAAGAGAGGGCAGCTGGCAAGAGGACGCTTGACTTTTCACCTACTTATTTTCCCTGAAGATAATATCCCCTAGGAGATGAGATGGGAGGGGGGACATTCCTGGGAGCTGAAGTAGTAGATATGGGGAGAGTGATTTGGAAGATGGCCAATGAGACGCAGAGAATTGGGGAACGGAAAGGGAAGGTTTGGAGTCAGGAAGTCAGTGTTGGCTACGACGTAGTCGGGAACAGATTGTCGTGCTTAATAAATGAAAGATTTCATCAAGGACTATTTGTTTGGAAATGCAATTTATTTGAGACGACACCGAAACCTGACAACGGCTTAGAAAGCTGGAAGTCTCCCCAGGCTTTCAAACTTGCAAACAGTTGCTGAGTATTTTTGCAGCTCCAAAGAGCTGGGCGCTTTCCTTTTTAATTAAAATCATCTTAAATCGCTACCAACTCCTGGGGGGAGTTATCATCCTATTCACCAAATTCTCAAAGCCTCAAAATAAATCAATATTTATTTTCCGATTTTTTTAAAATGGAAAATAGGTGTCAGAAAGATGATTAAAAAACATTTTGATGTGATCTCAGCGCATGGCCAGCCTGCTAAGGGGTGCATTTTGAGCAGGGTGGCTGAACCTTCCCTGCATCATAAAAAAAAATAAAGAAATAAAGAAATGTTCCGTAACTGTATTCAGCAAGTAGATGGCAGTATTTACAAGTTTGGATCTATGGTATATTCTCTATGCTCTTTTGTTCTAAGTAGCATTTCCTGTTTCCTGTTACAGTTGAGCAGATGAGCAGTAAAGCACATGGTGACTGTTCCCTTTGTTTGCTTCATGTGGTGCTTTATATAAACAGAATTTCTAACAATAACATTCTCCAAGGTGGCTCCCCCACCTAGTAGGTGAGCCCAGAAATTTGGGTGGGTGGGGAATAAACAAATTATAGAGATGGTCTTCAATTTATGACCGTTTTTCACACTTACGACCGTTGCAGCATCCCTGTGGTCATGTGACAAAAATTCAGACACTTGGCAACTGACTCATATTTATGACCGTTGCGGTGTCTTGGGATCATGTGATCCCCTTTTGCGACCTTCTGGCAAGCAGAGTCAATGGGGAAGCCAGATTCCCTCAACAACTGTGTGACTAACTTAACAACTGCAGTGATTCACTTAACGACTGTGGCAAGAAAGGCCGTAAGATGGGGCAAAACTCACTTAACAACGGTCTCACTGAGCAATGGAAATTTTGGGCTCAATCGGGGTCGTACATCGAGCACCACCTGTTACAAGCATCTAAATGCATACAGTCCTGAGTCCCCTTGGACAGTGAGATGGGCAGCATATAAATTTAATAAATATATATAATGCTTGCGATGCCATCTTCACAGCCATCCAAACCCCTATGTGGCTTTGCAGGCCACCTCGTGACCCACCCATCCCCCGGCCTCATGTGCCCCTTTCGCAACCCCCCCCCCCCACTTACCGAGGGAGCTCGAGCTGCTGATGCTGGACCGGTCACTCCCGGGCGAGGGGGCATCGCTGCTGGGGCTGCCCGTGCTGCGGAGGGAGACCACCGGCTCGTCACAGCCATTCAGATTGCCAAAGGTGATGCGGGCATTGAGGATGTGGAAGATGGGGATTTCTGGAGGCGAGAGAGAAGGAAGTGGGTGTTTGTCTCAGCAGGGCAGCCCTGCCACCTCCTTCAGCACAGGTGAGAGGGAGGGTCCCTTTAGGAAGACCTTTTCATCTAAGGGCATGTGACGCATTTTGACACCTCTGATCTGAGACATACCTGGTCTCGTCCAGGTATGATCTTGGCTGGGTATATCACACTACAACTCCCATCTTCCACCATGGGTGTAAAGCAGACTAGATCTCTCTCCCCCTCCTGTTCTCTCTTTCCCCCCTCCCCTCCCCCCCCACGTGTTTGTACAGTGAATGGATCTGTAGCATCTGGTTCAGTATCTCGAGTAAATGCACTAAACGTTTAACCCGTTGCCTTAAGCTTAGTGTTTCTCAAAAGTCAGCAATTTTAAGAGGGCTGGACTTCAACTCCCAGAATTCCCCAGCCAGCGTGCTTTTAGAATGATGGACGGAACCCAACTGCCAGAATTCCCTAGACCCGTGATGGCGAACCTATAGCGCGCATGCGTGCGCCGGCCAGCTGATTTTCCACCGGAAGTCAGCAAATGGGCCATTTCCAGCCTCCAGAGGGCCTCTGCGGGGTAGGGAAGGCTGTTTTAACCCTCCCCAGGCTCCAAGAAAGCTTCTGGAGCCTGGGGAGGGTGAAAAACAGGCCCGTCGGGCCATCACATGCCAAAAGCGGGGGAAGTGTGTGGGGGGGGTCGCATGCACATGCGTGGGGGGTGAAGCGCATTGAATTATGGATGTGGGCACTTGCGCGCGACTCCCCCGTGCTTTTGGCACAAGATGGCAAAAAGGTTAGCCATCACCACCCTAGACAGTGCAGTTTAAGATGTGAGGACTTCAACTCCCACGAATTCTCGTACAAGAGAGTATTTGGCACCCAGCCCCGGGTTGTCGCTCAAGTATTTAGTAGTATTTAGCTTCCAGCTGCCTGCAATTACTGTGAGTTCAATTCTCACCAGGCTCAAGGTTGACTCAGCCTTCCATCCTTTCTAAGGTAGGTAAAATGAGGACCCAGTTTGTGGGGGGCAATAAGCTGACTTTGTATAAAATATATACAAAAGTATGAAGGCCATTGCTTAACGCAAAGAGCCTGTAGTACAGTGGACTAAAGCACTGTTATTAACGTCTGCTGCTTGCAATTACTGCAAGTTCAAATCTCACCAGGCTCAAGGTTGACTCAGCCTTCCATCCTTTCTAAGGCAGGTAAATTGAGGATCCGGATTGTGGGGGCAATAAGCTGACGTTGTATAAATATACCAAAGTATGAAGGCTATTGCTTAACGCATTGTAAGCCGCCCTGAGTCTCCGGAAAAGGGCGGCATATAAATTAAAGCAAAAAAAAAAAAAAATGCATTATAAGGCATCCTGAGTCTCCAGAGAAGGGCAGCATATAAATCAAAATTTAAAAAAAATTAAAAAAAATAAAAAAAATTTTTTTAAAATCGCATTGCTTTTGGTGTGTTGAAGAGCAAACAGATTGCTCTCTTACAATCCCTTTCTCTCCAATCGCTCTGCTCTCTGAGAGATGCAGGAGAGAAGCTAGCCATTCTGTAGGCAATGTTAAAATATTTAATTATTTTAAACTGTTTTTAAATTTTGTATGTTCTGTTTTTATTTCGGCTGTTCACCGCCCTGAGTCGTATTGGAGAAGGGCAGTATATAAATGGAAACAAATAAAATAAAATAAAATAATAATAAAATAAAATAAAATAAAATAAAATAAAATAAAATAAAATAAAATAAAATAAAATAAAATAAAAAAAAAAAAAAAAAAATAAATAAATGTTCAACTTCTGCCTGTCCCCTTTCCGGTTACCGATGCCATGGCAGTGACCCTCACCAATCTTGACGGGGAAGCCGGGCGGCAGGCGCAGTGTGATGAAATCCCGGAGTTTGGCAAAGAGGGCGTTGCTGACCGCCATGAGGTCAATGATGGGGGCCACCTGCTCGGCCAGGGACAAGGGGTGGTCTTCGCACAACCATAATTTGGCTTTGAACCTGGGGGGGGAGGAGGACATGAGGAAGGGTTCAAACCCCGCTTGCCCCACCCTACAAAAAAACAGCCCAACGGGCCCCCTTGCTCTGCTCTCACTTTTGCGTCTTGGTGGTGAGTTCGATGGGTCGCCCCATATCCCGGGTCCCCAGCTCAAAATTGGGGTTGAAGTATTCCTCGGGCGTGATGGCAGTGGGGTTGGCGTGACTCAGCGTCTGCGTGATGAGAGCCTGCAGAGGGTCAGAGAGAAGATGGGGGGGATTGGGGTGGGGGGTGGGGGTCCCACCTTCCAGGAGGGCCACCCTGGGGAAACTGAGGCCAGGTGGCTGCTTTCCCAAGAATCACAGAATCAGCATTAGAAAACTACTCAGAGATCATCTAGTCCAGCCCCACTACTTGCTGGAGGGTTCACTACACTGTAGTGACTTACAAGGCATCCTCGACTTAACGACCACAATTGATCTTAAAATTTCCATTGCGGCTGTGAAGGGAGTTTTGCTCTATTGTCATGGTTGTTAAGTGAATCACTGCAGTCATTAAACGAATCTGACTTCCCCCATAGACTTCGCTTCTCGGAAGCCAGCTGGAAAGGCCTCGAGGGGGTCCCGTGACCCCAGGACAGTACAAACGCCATAAATACAGGTAGTCCTTGACTTATAACCGTTCATTTAGTGACTGAAAAAAGTGACTTATTTTCACACTTATGACCGATTTACATTCAGATACCTGACAAATGACTCACATTTATGACCGTCGCACTGTCCTGGACTCACGCAATCCCCTTTTGCGACCTTCTGACCAGCAAAGTCACTCTACAAGAAACCACATTCGCTTAATGGCCAGGTTACTAAATTAAGAACCGCAGTGATTCACTTAACAACCGTGGCAAGAAAAGTCATAAAATGGGGCAAAACTCCCTGAACAAACGTCTCACCTCTTAGCAACATAAATTTTGGGCTCCCTTGCGGTCGTATGTCGAGCACTCCCTGTACATGCCAGTTGGCAAGTGCCGAAAACTTGAACACGTGACACTGCGGTGGTCCCAAGTATGAGGACAGGTTGTAAGTTACTTTTTCCAGCACCATCGTAATTTCAAACTGTCGTTAAACGAATGGCCGTAAGTCGAGGACTACCTGTATTTCCAAACTACAAGCAAGAAGCAGAACGTTGGTGACCTTTGACACCCCCTCCCCAAACAGCTGAATATTACTCACCCCATTGTTGGGACCCACGTGTTGTTCGGCGATGCCCAGGAAGGACTGCAGTGGGGTTTTGCCACCTGCAAGAGACGAAAGCTGTAAAAACGGGGGATTTTGAATTTGTGGGTGGCACATCTGGGGCACAACAGAGTGGTGGGGTGGCCTAGAGGTGTCTGTCTGTCTGTCTGTCTGTCTATCTATCATCTATCTCTATCATCTATCTATCTATCTATCCATCCATCTCTCTCTCTCTCTCTCTCTCTCTCTCTATTAATTCATCCATCCATCTATATCTCTATCTATCTCTATCTATTATCTCTCACTCTCTCTTTATCATCTACCTACCTACCTACCTACCTACCTACCTACCTACCTCTATTAATCCATCCATCCATCTCTCTTTCTCTCTGTCTATCTATCTATCTATCATCTATCTATCTAATCTATCTATCTATCTATCTCTCTCTCTCTCTCTCTCTCTCTCTTTCTATCTATCTATCTATCAATCATCTATCTATCTATCTATCTATCTATTAATCCATCCATCCATCCATCTCTCTCTCTCTGTGTCTATCAATCATCTATCTATCTATTAATCCATCCATCTCTCTCTCTCTCTCTCTCCCCCTCTCTTTCTATCTATCTATCTATCTATCTATCTATCTATTAATCCATCCATCCATCCATCTCTCTCTCTCTGTGTCTATCAATCATCTATCTATCTCTCTCTCTCTCTCTCTCTCTCTTTCTATCTATCTATCAATCATCTATCTATCTATCTATCTATCTATTAATCCATCTCTCTCTCTCTCTCTCTCTCTCTTTCTATCTATCTATCAATCATCTATCTATCTATCTATCTATCTATCTATCTATCTATCTATCTATCTATCTCTATCTCTCTATTGGTCCATCCATCGATCCATCCATATCTCTATCTATGTCTATTATCTCTCTCTCTCTCTCTCGATCCATCCATCCATCTATATCTCTATCTATCTCTATCTATTAAACAGATTAACAGAGTTGGAAGGGACCTTATAGGACTAGATGACCTATAATATAGGTCATCTAGTCCAACCCTCCGCCCAAGCAAGGAGACCCTACACCCTTTATGACAGAGGACAGTCCAGTCTCTTCTTGAAAGCCTCCAGTGATGAAGCTCCCACAACTTCCGAAGGCAACTTCTCTTCCATGGGTTGAGCTATCTCTCTCTCTCTTATCTCTTCTGTTGTTGTTAGTGGCGGAGTCGTGTCCGACCCACCGCGACCCCCCTGGACAACGTTCCTCCAATCCTTCCTGTCCTCCTACCATCCTCTGGAGTCCACTGAAGCTCACGCCGACTGCTAAACCGATGTTTTAAAATAGGAGGAACGATTGCAGCTCCTTCGTAAATTGCAAACTGAAATGGCAGAATAACTCAGCAAGCAAAAATCCAGATTTTTGGTCGAAAATATAGAACTTCTCACCTTTAGTTTTTCCTTTGTGCTGCTCGGAAAGGTGTCCGGTCCGTGTCCGGGTGATGAGTTCTACATTGGAAGCCCCATAAACCTGTTGACCAAGGGACAGACGGTACGTTTCCTCAGCGTCCTCACCTGAGGCCCCTCCCTGCCCCTCTTCCCATCAACTTCTCAAGCTTCTAGTCCTCAGTATCACACCTTGGCTTCGTACCCGTTCACCACCTCGGTCTTTTCGCTCCTCCAGCCTAAAATACCCGTCTTGTTCCTGGCAGGCAGAGAAAGAGAGAGAGAGAAGAAATCAGTGGGAGAATGACAGGCACTCCTCGACTTATGACCCCAACTGAGCCCAGGATTTATGAAATTTCTTAAGTGAGTTTTGCCCCGTTTTACGACTTCTCTTGCCACCGTTGATAAGCGAATCACTGCAGGTGTGTTAAATTAGTGACACATGACTTTTTAAGCGAATCTGGCTTCCCCGTTGACTTTGCTTGTCAGACAGTCGCAAAAGGGGATCATGTGACCCTGGGATGCTGCGACCGTCATAAATATGAGCACTCAAACAGCACTCCTACCTAGTTAGGGTAATGAAACGTCGGGAAGAAAACAATCAAGCTCAGAGAGCACCAAGGACCCCTCAAATATGAGCCAGTTGCCAAGCAATGGTCATAAGTGTGAAAAAAACGGTCCTAAGTCACTTTTTTCAATGCCGTCGTAACTTCGAACGGTCACTAAACGAACTGTCGTAAGTCGAGGACTACCTGTATTTTTTTTTTTAATCCGAATGTGTCATAGGTGGTCCTTGACTTACGACCATAATGGAGCCTGCCCATCACAGGGTCCATTGACAGTTGTAAAGCGAATGCCCCAGTTGTAAAGCAGCCACCGCATTCATTCAAATGAATCAATTGGGCGCAATTGTCCCAAAAAAGCAAAAATTATTCCCCGTTTTCAGCAAAACCATCATAAAACGTGATCATATGACAGAAGGAGGAAGAGGAGGAAGAAGAGGAGGGGGGAGGATTGTGGGGTTCCTTGGTGGTCTCTGAGCTTTTGTGTTTGCAGACGTCTCATGACCCAACTACGTAATGGCATCAACGCTAGAAAGGAGCAGGGTTTGCGGGGAAGAGGAGGAGGAAGAGGAGGAAGACTGTGGGGTACTTGGTGCTCCCTTAGCTTGGTGGTTTTTCTTGCAGAAATTTCATTACCTATCTATCTATCATCTATCTATCTATCTATCATCTATCTATCTTATCTATCTAATCTATCTATCTATCTTATCTATCTATCTATCTATCATCTATCTATCTATCTATCTTTCATCTATCTATCTTATCTATCTATCTATCTTCTATCTATCATATCTATCTATCTATCTATCTATCTATCTATCTATCTATCTATCATCTATCTATCTTATCTATCTATCTATCTATCTTCTATCTATCATCTATCTATCTATCTTATCTATCTATCTATCTATCTATCTATCTATCTATCTATCTAATCATATTTCTATGCCGCCCACTCTCCGAGGACTCTGGGTGGCTTACAACAATCGACAGTATACTAAATAGCCTATTGCCCCCCAACAATCTGGGTCCTCATTTTACCCACCTCGGAAGGACGGAAGGCTGAGTCAACCTTGAGCCGGTGAGATTTGATCCGCTGATCTGCTGAACTAGCAGTCAGCTGAAGTAGCTGCAGTACTGCACCCTAACCGCTGCACCACCTTGGCTCTATATAGGTAACGTCATCACTTCAATAAGCAGGTTAGGTGTCCTTTGGTGAACCTCAAGTTAGTCAGCAAAGCCAGGTCTCACGCTCCAGTCCAGGAAAGTGAGGGGCTGCCCCATCTGTATAAATTGCACCCCTGCCCTCTTGATTTTGTTGAGATCCCTCCCCACCATCAATTATTTTATTTATTTATTTAATTAAATTTCTATACCGCCCTTCTCCCGAAGGACTCAGGGCGGTGAACAGCCACAAGAGAAAACACAGAAGTACAAAAATTTAAAATAGATTAAAAACGAATTAAATAATTTGGCTGAATTTTAAAATACCCCATAATTTAAAACAGATTAAAATTTGTATTTAAAATTTATATTTAAAAGGGGAGAAGATTTAGGCCAGGCCAGCTTGATGAAATAAAAAAGTCTTAAGCGCGTGACGGAAGGTGCGCAGATCCGGGATCTTCCGTATCTCCGGGGGGAGCTCGTTCCAGATCGTAGGTGCCCCCACAGAGAAGGCCCTCCCCCTAGGGGCCGCCAGTCGACATTGTTTGGCCGACGGCACCCGGAGGAGCCCCTCTCTATGGGAGCATACCAATGGCCCTGGTCCATCCGTTGATGCCACCATGCCTAGTGTTTTGAACCCTCCTTCCAGGACACCCCGCGCGCACCTTCCCCATACCTCTCGAAGGCAATATTGCGCATGTCCAGATGCGTGGCGACCACGGGGGCCATCAGGCGCCCCATCACCTGCTCCTCGGTGGGCTGCATGGCCGCGAGGATGGTCTCCTGGTCGTGGGTAGCCAGCGCCAGCGTTTCGGAGTATACCACCTGCCGGTTGTGATCCACCTCCATGAACACCGCACTCGTATCTGAAGAAAGAAGGAGGAGGGAAGAGAAGAGATGAATCATCATCTTATTAGTCCAAACATTAAAAGCAGCCTCATCTGATAAGTCTTTCAAGGAAGCCCCTTCCCCAGAAGCATAATCCCATTGGCCCAAATATTGAAAGCAGTCTTGTCTCATAAGTCTTTCAAGGAAGCTCCTTCACAAGAAGCATCATCTGATTGGTCCAAATATTGAAAGCAGCCTCATCTCATAAGTCTTTCAAGGAAGCTCCTTCCCCAGAACAATAATCCCATTGGTCCAAATATTGAAAGCAGCCTTGTCTCATAAGTCTTTGAAGGAAGCCCCTTCCCCAGAACAATCATCCCATTGGTCTAAATATTGAAAGCAGCCTTGTCTCATAAGTCTTTGAAGGAAGCTCCTTCACAAGAAGCATCATCCGATTGGTCCAAATATTGAAAGCAGCCTCATCTCATAAGTCTTTGAAGGAAGCTCCTTCCCCAGAACAATAATCCCATTGGTCCAAATATTGAAAGCAGCCCCGTCTCATAAATCTTTGAAGGAAGCTCCTTCCCCAGAACAATAATCCCATTGGTCTAAATATTGAAAGCAGCCTTGTCTCATAAGTCTTTGAAGGAAGCTCCTTCACAAGAAGCATCATCTGATTGGTCCAAATATTGAAAACAGCCTCATCTCATAAGTCTTTGAATGAAGCTCCTTTGCGAAAAGCATCATCTGATTGGTCCAAACACTGAAAGCAGCCTCATCTCATGAGTCTTTGAAGGAAGACCATCTTGGCAACCTGAAGATCTGTGGACTTCAGCACCCAGATTTCCCCAGCCAGCATGGAGGATTCTGGGGGTTGAAGTCCACCCCTCTTAATTCATGGCTGACTAGGGAATTCTGGGATTTGAAGTCCAAACCTCTTAAACCATGCTGGCTGGGGAATTCTGGGAGTGGAAGTCATCGTCCCCCATCTTAAAGCAAGTGGGCTGGGGAATCCTGGGAGCTGAAGTCCACCCCTCTTAAAGCATTAAGAGTTGGCAACAGATCTCTCTACCTGAAGTAGAGAGCTCTGTTGCCAACTCAGCACAACTCTGCACCTCCTTAAAGCAGCCTGTTCAATCCCTGGTTCTGCAGGGAAATGAAAAACATTGCAGCTGCTTTAAATGGCCTAAACCCTGAAAGCAAGATATTTTAATGAGCTTCTTAAAGCAACGGCACCCTTTTTTGCCGAACAGAAGGAAAACATTTTCTCCAGCAAAAAAGAAAAAGAAAACACGGTTGCTTTGATGAGCCACCGAGAAGTGTCAATTTCAATCGTTTTCCCCTACCTTGGCCCCGGAAGATGAAGCTGTGATTTCCACGCTGCCACGTCATGTGGTCGAAGCCCAGCAACGTGGTGTCCACTCGCAGGTTCTGCCCACACTTCCACACCTTGTATGTGTCGCTGGGGCAAATCTTGGAGACCAAGGGAACTGTTTGAAAAAATAGAATGCAGAAGAGAAACTAAGGCAGTGTTTCTCAACCTTGGAAGCTTGAAGAGGGGTGGACTTCAACTCCCAGAATCCCCCAGCCAGCAGCGCTGGCTGGGGGATTCTGGGAGTTGAAGTCCACCCCTCTTCAAGCTTCCAAGGTTGAGAAACACTACTGAACTAAGGTGATCAAAGGACTGGAGGCCTAAACATCTGAAGAACAGCTGTGGAATTTGGGTCTGGCTGGTCTAGAGAAAAGAGAAATTAGGGGTGACATGATAGCAATATTCCAGTATTTGAGGGGGCTGCCATAAAGAGGAGAGGGTCAGTTTATTCTCCAAAGCACCTGAAGGCAAGATAAGAAACAATGGTTGGAAACTAATCAAGGAGAGAAGCAACCTGGAATTAAGCAGAAACTTCCTAACAGTGAGGACAATTAACCAGCGGAACAGCTGGCCACCAGAAATTGTGGGTGCTCCAACACTGGAGGTTTTTAAGAAGAGATTGGACAGCTACCTGTCTGAGATGATATAGGATCTCCTGCCTGAGCAGAGGGCTGGACTAGAAGACCTCCAAGGTCCCTTCCAGATCATTCATTCTATTCATTCTCTCTTTCATTCTATATGCCGTCCATCTCGGTGTCGAAGAGATTCTGGGTGGCTTATTCAATTTATCATGCCCCTGGAATTAGGTCCTTCCCCTACTCTCTGAGCAGCCGTGTTCTCTGCCCCAGAAAAGTAGGTACATTGGGAAGAGGAGGGGAGGGGGGGAGTCAAAAAAGTCAAGATGGCTGACATGTCTGCAGAATCGAAGCCCCACCCGTTTACGATGCATTCAACAACGTAAAGACGAGGAGGCTTTGCAAATTTTGGATTATCTTGACTTTTTCTAATCCTGCAAATGCCCCTGGGGGGGGGGTGCTTAAGGGGGGGGGTTGGTTTTTCCGGGGGGGGGGGGGCAGACAGATGACAGCCCGTTCCCAATTGGGGATTTGTTTGCTTTCTTTCGGCATGCCAACGTACCCCAACTCGTGAATTCCCACTTCATCTCCACGTAGAAATCTTGAGCCTGCAGCAACGAGAAAACGAAAGAGTTGGGAGGGAGGGTTAAATACAGGGGGGGGTCCTTGACATATGACCACCATCGAGGCCAAAATTTATGTTGCTAAGTGAGAAATTTGTTAAGCGGGTTTTGCCCCATTTTACGACTTCATAACCATTTTTTTAGTGACTTTGAAGTTGCGAAAAAGTGACTTATGACCATTTTTCACACTTACGACCATCGCAGTATTCCCCAGTCACACGATCAAAATTCAGACACTCGGAAACTGACTTGTATTTATGACGGTTGCATTTTTCTGGAGGGGGGGAGGGGTTTCGTGTGATTCCCTTTTGCGACTTTCTGACAAGCAAAGTCAATGGGGAAGAAGCCAAATTCACTTAAACAACCATTTTACTGATTTAAAAACTGTACGATTCACTTAACAACAGTGGCAAGAAAGGTTGTAAAATGGAGTAAAACTCACTTAAATGGTTCACTTAGCGACATAAAGGTTGAGCTCCATTTTGGCCGTAAGTTGAGGACTAACTGTATCAGCCCTTCAAGACACATGGCTCTCTGCTGAATGGTTAGGAAGGGGAAAGAAATACAGTTATTAAAGTTATGAATGGAACCTTTTCTGGAGCTTTTATTAAGAACTGGCAGCAAGAAACATTAAGGTTATAAAAAGAAGCTGCCCAAAATCTCACTTCCAATTTAACTTTCCTTTATTTATTAATCTGTTTATTTATTCATCAGTTCTTACGTTCCGTTGAGTTCTCAGATACGACGGGCAAATTCCAAACCCACAAGGTGCCATTAAAAAGGCCACCAATAAAACCGATCATGATTAAATAAATGAATTAATATTACTAAAATAATCCTTGATTTACGACAGTTTAATGACAGTTACAACAGCCTAGAAAAGAAGTGTTGCCCCAGGAGTGTCCAATCTTGGTGACTTTTAAGATGTGTGAATTTGATAACTAACAAGATCATACTAAGAATAAGATTTATTTGTTTGTTTGTTTATTTATTTATTTTATTATTTTATTTTATTTCATTATTTCATTTCATTTCATTTCATTTTATTATTTTATTTTATTTTATTTTATTTTATTTTATTTTATTTTATTTTATTTTATTTTTCTTCTCCGGAGACTCAGGACAGCTTACAATGCGCTAAGCAATAGCCTTCATACTTTTGTATATTTTATACAAAGTCAGCTTATTGCCCCCACAAACTGGGTCCTCATTTTACCCACCTTAGAAAGGATGGAAGGCTGAGTCAACCTTGAGCCTGGTGAGAATTGAACTCGCAGTAATTGCAGGCAGCTGGATGTTAAATGCTGCCTTAGTAGGAAGCATTAGCCTCCTACGCCACTCAGGCTCCTATGGGATGCTATGAAATGTTATGTATAAAACAGAGCTCAGCGGTTGAAAACACTGAGCTTCTCAGATGGAAAGGCCACGTTCGAGACCCGAACACTGCGAGACAGGGTGAGTTCCCGTTCCTTGCTGAAGCTCCTGCCCACCTAGCAATTCAAAATCTTTTAAAATCTACTTTCAATGACCCCATAATCCAGTGTTTCTCAACCTTGGTAGCTTGAAGATGGGTGGACTTCAACTCCCAGAATCCCCTAGCCAGCAGCGCTGGCTGGGGGATTCTGGGAGTTGAAGTCCACCCATCTTCAAGCTTCCAAGGTTGAGAAACACTGCCATAATCCCTTGCGGTGCAGAGTCTGGCCAACTGAATGGAGCTGAATGTTTACTGGCCGGATGCCCTTCCTGTTGCCAATGAGGAGTTTTTTTTCAGCAGATATATTCTCATCGTGCCCAGAGAGAGAAATATCTGCCTCTACCTAGGATTGAACTCACAGCCTCCTGATTATGAGGTAAGAGCTCCACCTTTAGGCCACCGCACCACTCTTCGAAAGCATGTAAATGCGAGTAGATAAATAGGTACTGGGTTTCCCTGAAAATAAGACCGGGTCTTATATTAATTTTTGCTCCAAAAGATGCATTAGGGTTTATTTTCTGGTTAGGTCTTATTTTGGGGGAAATATGGTACTAAATGTACCCGTGTGGCTGGCAATCTTAAAAGTTAAAGGTTCCCCTCGCACATATGTGCTAGTCATTCCCGACTCTAGGGGGCGGTGCTCATCTCCGTTTCAAAGCCGAAGAGCCAGCGCTGTCCGAAGACGTCTCCGTGGTCATGTGGCCGGCATGACTCAACGCCAAAGGCGCACGGAACGCTGTTCCCTTCCCACCAAAGGTGGTCCCTATTTTTCTACTTGCATTTTTTACCTGCTTTCGAACTGCTAGGTTGGCAGAAGCTGGGACAAGTCACGGGAGCTCACCCCGTTACGCGGCACTTGGGATTCGAACCGCTGAACTGCCGACCTTCCGATCGACAAGCTCACCGTCTTTAGCCACTGAGCCACCGCGTCCCTGTCAATCTTAACTGGGGCTTATTTTGGGAGGTAGGGCTTATATTACGAGCATCCTGAAAAGTCATGCTAGGACTTATTTTCCGGTTGGGTCTTATTTTCGGGAAAAAGGATACCACTTCGGTGGGAAGGTAACCGCGTTCTGTGTGCCTTTGGGGTTTAGCCATGCTGGCCACACGACCCCCGAAAATGTCTTTGCACAACGCTGGCACCCTTGGCCAAGAAACGGAGATGAGCCCCACCCTCCAGAGTCAGACAGGACGGATAGCGAAACCCTTCCCTTTTTATATTTGAAACCACAGGTAGTCCTCGACTTACAATGATTCATTTAGTGACCGTTCAAAGTTACAACGGCAACTGAAAAAAAGTGACTTAGGACCGTTTTTCATACTTACGACCGTTGTGGCATCCCCATAATCAGGTGCTCAAAATTCAGACGGTTGGCAACTGACTTGTATTTATGACGCTCGCAGCGTTTCCCAGTCACGTGATCTCCTTTTGCCAATGGGGGAGATCAATGGGGGAAGCCATGGATTCACTTAACAACAGTGTTCCCAACTTAACAAATGCAACGGTTCGCTTAACGACCATGGCAAGGAAAGTCGTAAAATAACAGCAAAAAACAAAAAAGTCACTTAAGCCATGGTTCACTCAGCGATGAAAATTTGGGGCTCAGTTGTGGTCGTACGTGGAGGGCTGTACGAGGGGTTTGCAAGAGGTTTACAATCTCAGCAAGGACACAAAGGGGAGGACCCCGGAAGGGGCGAGGAGGGGGAACTGACCTTCCGTAATTTTTCTAGCAGGACGGGGATCCCGGCCAAACGCTTGATGGCTCGCTGGTAGTCCCGATAACGCAGCACCAGTTGAACTAACTCCAGGTCCTGAGTGCTGACGGCCTCCTGCAACACTGCAACCCGAGAAGGAGATCAGGAAAACCATCCGTCGCCAAACTACACGGTCCTCGACTTACAACCGTTCGCTTAATGACTTTCGTTACAACGGCGGTGCGAAAAAAAAAAAAGTGACTTTGCAATGGGTCCTCGCACTTATGACCGTCGCAGCATCCGCATGGCCACGGGATTAAAATTTGCATGCTTGGTCACCGGAATGTTCAGGCAGTCCTCGACTTACGACGGTTCGCTTAGTGACCGTTCAGAGTTACGCCGGCACCGAAAAAAGTGACTCATGAGCATTTTCCAGATTTACGACCGTTGTAAGCATCCCCGTGGTGACATGATTTTCATTCGGATGCTCAGCAACTGACTCATAGTTATGACAGTCGCAGTGTCCTGGGGTCATGGGATTCCCTTTTGCGACCTTTTGACAAGCAAAATCAACAGGGAAGCCCGATTCACTTAACAACCGTGTTAATAACTTAACAACTGCAGTGATTCACTTAACGACTGTGGCAAGAAAAGTCGTGAAATGGGGCAAAACTGACTGAACGAATTTTGGACTCAATGGTGGTCGTAAATCGAGGACTGCCCGAATGAACAAACTGGGTAGCAGGTGCAATTAAATAAAATAAAATCCTTCTCTTTTTTGCATGTGTTCTGCGTGACTCTGTTTTAGAGTCACAACCTCCATTTTTTTCCCACACTTTCACATCCTGAATATAATATAACTCAAATTCTTAGCCACATCCCCTTTCTCTTTCTTTCTTTCTTTTTCTTTCTTTCTTTCTTTTTTTTTCTTTCTTTCTTTCTCTCTCTCTCTCTCTTTTTCTTTTCTTTCTTCCCTTTCTCCCAATTTATTAAAATTCCTTTGAAAATCTTTTTCAAACATTCGTTCAAATTCCTTTGAAAATAACTTTGGAAATGGTGAACTGAAAATGTTCAGAAGTGGAAATCAACGGACCTTGGTCTTAACAGTTAAATGAACACGCACCCAGGGGGAAAAATATCATTTCCTATAAGTGACTTTCAGTTCACTTTTCAGGACAGAGATGTTGCCTGCTGAACTCAGGAGAGATGGAATGGTCTTTCTTTTTCTTTTTCTTTTTTTTTTGCTTTAATTTATATGCCACCCTTCTCTAGAGATTTCTCAGGGCGGCTTACAATGCCTTAAGCAACAGCCTTCATACTTTTGTACATTTATACAAAGTCAGCTTATTGCCCCCACAAACTGGGTCCTCATTTTACCTACCTTAGAAAGGATGGAAGGCTGAGTCAACCTTGAGCCTGGGGAGATTCGAACTCGCAGTAATTGCAGGCAGCTGGTGTTAATAACAGTGCTTTAGTCCACTGTACTACAGGCTCTTTCTTAACCTCTGCAACATTAAGAAAGCATGCTGGCTGGGGGATTCTGGGAGTGGAAGCCCACCCCTCTTAAAGCATGGCTGGCTGGGGGATTCTGGGAGTGGAAGCCCACCCCTCTTAAATCCTGCTGGCTGGGGGATTCTGGGAGTGGAAGTCCATCCTTCTTAAAGCATGGCTGGCTGGGGGATTTGCAACTTTGGAACCAGGTTGCAAATCCCCCCCAGGGAAGTCTGACATAACTTCAAATGGTCGTAAGTCGAGGACCACCTGTGTATTCTGTGGCATGCTGCAGCTCTGAAAATCTTTTTCTGCTAAAGAAAATGCGCTGATGTTCAGCTTCGCTTTCCACCTGCCAAGGAGAGAAATGGTAACACACCTGTCCAGCCGGACCGATTTTCTTTGGCCACGTCTGCGCCGTGCCGCAAGAGAACTCGCGCACATTCCAGGTGGCCCAGGGTGGTGGCCAGGTGCAAGGGAGTTCGGCCTCGGGGGTCCACCTGTTCCACATCCACCTGCCAGGAGAAAAGGGAGGTATTTTATATCACCACGATACCAAAAAAAGATGTGGAGACTCTGGAAAGAGTGCACAGAAGAGCAACCAGGATGATGAGGGGACTGGAGGCTAAAAGATACGATGTACGGTTGCAGGAACTGGGCCTGGCTAGTCTAGTGAAGAGAAGGACCAGGGGAGACAGGAGAGCATCTTCCAATATTGGAGGGGCTGCCCCAGAGAGGAGGAAGGGGGTCAAGCTATTCTCCAAAGCACCAGAAGGCAGGACAAAAAGCAACGGATGGAAATTAATCAAGGAGAGAAGCAACTTGGAATTAAGAAGGAATTTCCTGACAGTTAGAACAATTAATCAGAGGAACCGCTTGCCACCAGAAGTTGTGGGTGCTCATCACTGGAAGTTTTTAAGAAGATGTTGGATAACCATTTGTTATCCATGGTATAGGGTCTTCTGCTTTAGCAGGGGGTTGGACTAGAAGACCTCCAAGGTCCCATCCAACTCTGTTATTCTGCCCTTCCTTCCTTCCTTCCTTTCCTCCATTCCTTCCTCCATTCCATTCCTTCCTTCCCTCCTCTTTCCTTCCTTCCTACCTACCTACCTACCTACAGAGATTTTTAAGAAGAGATTGCACAGCAGCCTGTTTGAAATAGCATAGGCTTCCTGCCTGAGCAAGGGGCTGGACTAGAAGACCTCCAAGGTCCCTTCCAACCAACCTCCCTCCCTCCCTCCCTCCCTTCCCACTAGAGGTTTTTAAGAAGAGATTGGACAATCATTTTATCTGGAATGGTATCCTGCTGAAGCAGGGGGCTGGACTAGAACACCTCCAGGGTCCCTTCCGATTCTGCTGACACCTGGCCATGACAGCAAGCACCATTTCCATCCTTCCGGTTCAGTGGCCAAGGAGAATTCATTCACAAACCACACCAAGAAAACCCCTGGACCTTTTCCTGGGGTTATTTTTGCTACAGGTACTGCTTGACTTACAGCCACCATTGAGCCCAACGCATCACTTGCTAAACGAGACGACTGTTAAGCTGTTAAGTGTTAAGCTGTTAAGCCGCCCAGAGTTATCCTGTGCTAAGATGGGTGGCCCGTCAGTTTCGTAAATAAATAAAATCTCATTTCTTGCCAGGCTTCTGAAGTGAATCCTAAATTGTTACGTCAGTCACACTGTTGTTAAGTAAACCTGGCTTCCCCGTTGCTTGTCAGAAGGACACAAAAGGGATCCTGGGACACTGCCACCGTCATAAATGTGAGTCACTTGGCAAGCATCCGACTGTAAATCACATGACCATGATGGGGATGCTGCAATGGTCATACATGTAAAAACGGTCATAAGTCATTTTTTCAGTTCTGCTGCAACTTCGCATGGTCACTAAACGAATGGTTGTAAGTCGAGTAATACCTGTACTTGCAAATCCTAGGAATCCAAATTAAAGCATCGCACACAGGAGGTGGGTTGACACATCCATGCTGGCTGGGGGATTCTGGGAGTGGAAGCCCACCTCTCTTAAAGCATTCTGGCTGGGGGATTCTGGGAGTGGAAGTCCACCCCTCTTAAAGCATTGCTGGCTGGGGGATTCTGGGAGTGGAAGCCCACCCCTCTTAAAGGAGGCTGGCTGGGGGATTCTGGGAGTGGAAGCCCACCTCTCTTAAAGCAGGTTGTCTGGGGAATTCTGGGAGTTGAAGTCCACCTCTCTTAAAGCATTGCTGGCTGAGAAACAGGGTGAGTGTCAGCCAAAATTCTCTTGGGGGCTCTTTGCAAGAGGTGAGAATAATTTCATTGCCAACCTTCCCCAGAGATTTCTTTCAGTCCTCTATTCTTCCAGCAGCTGAGTGTTAATTGCAAATAAGCGGAACTAACATTTATCAGTGCAGCAGGAAAACAAGTGGCAAAAGATTTTTGGGAGGGGGAGGGAGGCTGAGCAGACAGATCTACAGAGAAATCAGCAAAAAAAGAAAAACCAACTACCAGTTTCCTCTCTGCTGCCCAAGTACTTAACTCCACATCTACTTCTTGTATATTCTCTCACAATTCCGGTGACATCCATGTTATCTCAATTCTCAACCATGATTTATGCATATTTGAATAGAAGGTATATTGTTTTTTCCTTTGGTTTTAATTCCCTCCAAGCATCTTTAATTCCTAGTTCCTCCGTCATTTCAAAAAAGGTCTTTGGTATAATTCCCTTAGCTTTTTGCGTTGTATTGCTAAGTCTAATTTTGCATCAACCATGGCGGTAAAGTCTCCCACAATACAGATGTTATCATATTCTATTTCTGTCATTTTTTTTATGTTCATAAGAAACTTCTTGGTTAGCCTTTTGGTGCATATATTACCGTTGATAATGCCCATTTATAATTCATCATTACTTCCGCTATCAAAATTCACCCCTCTTCATCTTTATAGGTTTGTTTTGATTCTATGGAAATCGTGCATCGTATCTTTGCCTTCGAATACGAAATCCATGGATGCAATCAGTCAACTGTTTAGACTGGATTGTAATACAGTGACTTTCCTGGTTGCGTCTTCTCCTTCAGTCAGGTCAAGCAGGAGGGGTATTCTGTGCACCTTGTCACCAAAGGAGGGGTCTCCAACCTTGACAACTTTATAACTTGTGGATTTCAACTCCCAGAATTCCTCAGCCAGCTTTGCTTTAAGACTTGTGGAGGGAGTGGAAGCCCATCCTTCTTAAAGCATTCTGGCTGGGGAATTCTGGGACTGGAAGTCCTCCCCTCTTAAAGCATGTTGGCTGGGGAATTCTGGGAGTGGAAATCCTCCCCTCTTAAAGCACGCTGGCTGGGGGATTCTGGGAGTGGAAATCCTCCCCTCTTAAAGCACGCTGGCTGGGGGATTCTGGGAGTGGAAGTCCTCCCCTCTTAAAGGAGGCTGGCTGGGGAATTCTGGGAGTGGATGTCCATCCTTCTTAAAGCATTCTGGCTGGGGGATTCTGGGAGTGGAAATCCTCCCCTCTTAAAGCATTCTGGCTGGGGGATTCTGGGAGTGGAAATCCTCCCCTCTTAAAGCACGCTGGCTGGGGGATTCTGGGAGTGGAAATCCTCCCCTCTTAAAGCACGCTGGCTGGGGGATTCTGGGAGTGGAAGTACACCCATCTTAAAGCATGCTGGCTGGGGAATTCTGGGAGTGGAAATCCTCCCCTCTTAAAGCACGCTGGCTGGGGGATTCTGGGAGTGGAAGCCCATCCTTCTTAAAGCATTCTGGCTGGGGAATTCTGGGACTGGAAGTCCTCCCCTCTTAAAGCATGTTGGCTGGGGAATTCTGGGAGTGGAAGTACACCCATCTTAAAGCATTGCTGGCTGGGGGATTCTGGGAGTGGAAGCCCACCCCTCTTAAAGCATGCTGGCTGGGGAATTCTGGGAGTGGAAATCCTCCCCTCTTAAAGCACGCTGGCTGGGGGATTCTGGGAGTGGAAGCCCACCCCTCTTAAAGGAGGCTGGCTGGGGAATTCTGGGAGTGGAAGTCCATCCTTCTTAAAGCATTCTGGCTGGGGAATTCTGGGACTGGAAGTCCTCCCCTCTTAAAGCACGCTGGCTGGGGGATTCTGGGAGTGGAAGTCCTCCCCTCTTAAAGGAGGCTGGCTGGGGAATTCTGGGAGTGGATGTCCATCCTTCTTAAAGCATGGCTGGCTGGGGGATTCTGGGAGTGGAAATCCTCCCCTCTTAAAGCATTCTGGCTGGGGGATTCTGGGAGTGGAAGTACACCCATCTTAAAGCATTGCTGGCTGGGGGATTCTGGGAGTGGAAGCCCACCCCTCTTAAAGCATGCTGGCTGGGGAATTCTGGGAGTGGAAATCCTCCCCTCTTAAAGCACGCTGGCTGGGGAATTCTGGGAGTGGAAGTCCTCCCCTCTTAAAGCATGGCTGGCTGGGGGATTCTGGGAGTGGAAGTACACCCATCTTAAAGCATTGCTGGCTGGGGAATTCTGGGAGTGGAAATCCTCCCCTCTTAAAGCACGCTGGCTGGGGGATTCTGGGAGTGGAAGTACACCCATCTTAAAGCATGCTGGCTGGGGAATTCTGGGAGTGGAAATCCTCCCCTCTTAAAGCACGCTGGCTGGGGAATTCTGGGAGTGGAAGTACACCCATCTTAAAGCATTACTGGCTGGGGGATTCTGGGAGTGGAAGCCCATCCTTCTTAAAGCATTCTGGCTGGGGAATTCTGGGACTGGAAGTCCTCCCCTCTTAAAGCATGTTGGCTGGGGAATTCTGGGAGTGGAAATCCTCCCCTCTTAAAGCACGCTGGCTGGGGGATTCTGGGAGTGGAAATCCTCCCCTCTTAAAGCACGCTGGCTGGGGGATTCTGGGAGTGGAAGTCCTCCCCTCTTAAAGGAGGCTGGCTGGGGAATTCTGGGAGTGGAAATCCTCCCCTCTTAAAGCACGCTGGCTGGGGGATTCTGGGAGTGGAAGTACACCATCTTAAAGCATGCTGGCTGGGGAATTCTGGGAGTGGAAATCCTCCCCTCTTAAAGCACGCTGGCTGGGGGATTCTGGGAGTGGAAGTCCATCCTTCTTAAAGCATTCTGGCTGGGGAATTCTGGGAGTGGAAGTCCACCCCTCTTAAAGCATGGCTGGCTGGGGAATTCTGGGAGTGGAAGCCCTCTCCTCTTAAAGCATTCTGGCTGGGGGATTCTGGGAGTGGAAATCCTCCCCTCTTAAAGCATTCTGGCTGGGGGATTCTGGGAGTGGATGTCCATCCTTCTTAAAGCATGCTGGCTGGGGAATTCTGGGAGTGGAAATCCTCCCCTCTTAAAGCATTCTGGCTGGGGGATTCTGGGAGTGGAAGTACACCCATCTTAAAGCATGTTGGCTGGGGAATTCTGGGAGTGGAAGTCCACAAGTCTTCAAGCAAAGCTGGCTGGGGGATTCTGGGAGTGGAAGTCTACCCCTCTTAAAGCATTACTGGCTGGGGAATTCTGGGAGTGGAAGTCCATCCCTCTTAAAGCATTACTGGCTGGGGAATTCTGGGAGTGGAAGTCCTCCCCT